GATGCGGCGCTGGGGGGGAGTTGAACGTCCCCGTGCGGGCTGGTACTGCCCCCTTGCCAGCCCCACGCGTGACACCCGACGCGGGTGTCAAGCGAGGGACTGCGGGACTTTTCCCGACAGTCCGGGCTTGCCTTCGCAGGGCCGAGTCGCGTCTGCGGGTGCCAGAAACAGCTCGTGATTCCTTGGCGTGTGCGGTCCCTTCCACTCCCCTTATCAGCTGATTTCTTACGGATTTTATCTCATAAACAGCCCGATTTGACTCTTCAGGAGCCTCTGCTGTTATGTTGCTTGCTGCTAGTTGTTCAGTACTCTTTTTCTAAAAGATGCAATGCAACTTTTTTTTTTCAATTATGTGATTTTTATGCAGATTTACACCACATCTGCAAGGTTTATTTCAGAGTAAACCATCCAGATTGGAGGGCATCAATGAAATTATATTGACAAGTTACTTACAAAATGCTTCAGGCATCTGGAAGACGAGAAAATCGCTTCAGTGTCATGTCTGGGAATATAGCAAGTATTCATGGAAACAAAGACAATATTTTTGTCAATAGCGAAGAATGGCAGTGTTAGAAATGCAAACCGACTGGTATTTCCTGACTCCTAAATTTCTCAAGACAAGTTCTCACTCCTTCCCATTGCATTTTGATGGAATATCCATACTTAAAAAAAAAAAGCCTATTATTTGCATATTCTATTATCTTAGTGGTACATGACCAGAACTTTATTTTATCTAGCTGTAGGTCTTGGTCATGTAAGGTGTTTCTGACCTGCTGTCTTGCAGATTTCACAAGCCCCTGGAACACTTGAAAGTCACCAGTGAATCGGTGCATTGTGTAGTACAAATAAACAGGTGGTTGGATATACACGATTGTCACCGTGGATGTAAAACTAGTGCTGATTGGTGCTGTGAGACTTGGAGTAAACTTCTGTCATATTTCCAAGGGCTTTTTTCTTTTTTTTTTCTCTTCAGACACTGCTGTTCAGTGCATCTCCTACTTGCAACAGATTTTTCTGACAATGTGTCAAAGTCGCTACTCAGATTTATTTTCCTACCAAATCTTAAGTTTACTACTTCTAGCCTATTTAATACTAGAGGTGTTCCGAGAATTTAGATACTATTTAGAAAGTATGCTTTTTCATTCCTACAGAAATAATTGGCAGACTTGTGTGAGAGCAAATTTTGAAAATTGTATTTGTGAATTTTCTTGGCTGGAGAGAAAAAGTTACCAGGAATGTGCAAATGAAGCTTGTTAAATGCCACTGCCAACTCTTTTCCCCTCCACACCTCCACTCCCAAATATCTGCTGTCTCCTCACTTTGTAGAGTGACCATGATGGAAATATATGCAAAAATCTTTATTATTATTGAACTTATTATTACTAATTGTTGTTATTAATAACGATTATGATAAATAAACTCATTAAGAGATGTTGAATATTGCAGAGATTATATGAGTATTAGTGCTGATGTTAGAATGTGTGGCCAGAGCAAGTAATTGGAGGCTGGTAATAGTGTCCTAATGGCCTCAAGATGTAAATGAGCTTGATTTTGAAACAAAACTAAGCTTGAGGAAATAACTGCATTAATTGTGATGCACATGTGTTCTTACAACAAATTATAGGGAAGCTGGGTTTAAAGTAATTCCACAGTCTAGTTCAAAGCTAAGTTTTGAGTTTTATAATGGCATGCTTGTAAACCTTTCTTGACTGACCATCCATCCATCACTCAGTTTTGTAAAATGCTTTGTAGTTTGAACCTGAGAGCACCACTGCTACCATATAACCTATGCAGTGTCTCACAGTAGAGGGTCTTTCTCCCTCACTCTTTTTTTTTTTAACCCCTCTAGTAGTTTCATTTATCTATATATAAAGCTCAAGAAAAAGTGCCATCGGGGATTATACTGTGTAAATTTAAATAATAAGACAAGCGAAAGCATAGTTACTGAAAAAGAACATTGCAGGTGGGGAGGATGTCAATCATCTTCTTCAGTGTATTGTCAGAGACAGCTCTCATGACTCTTTAATTATAGCCTCATAAATACAAAAAGCAAGTGTTTGAATGGCTAACTCCTTTTTTCTTTTTCTACTCTACAATCATATTTGTATAATAAATTCTTATCCAAACACTTTTGTTTTTTTTCTAGAAGAAAAAAAAACTCTTTCCTTTATTATAAGTAACGTTATTAAATACCATATAAAAACATCATTGCACTCTTTCTTAAGCAAGTCACTGTGTCTCCCCACCAAATATATTGATTTAATCCCATGTGTATTGAAAGGTATCTATGAAGAAGAAAAATTTGGTATTACTGATAGTAACGAATTTGAAGCACAAACAGTGGGCAAAACTTTTTATTGTTCTTAAAGTACATACTCTTTCTTTCTGATAATTCTTTCTTTCCCCAATGCGTATAAACACATACTTCTACCGATTAAAACAATGTTCTGTCACCTCGCTAAAACTGCATAGATTTTAAGGTTCGTCTTTCACTGTTTAAAAAAAAAAATGAGTGAGTTTATCTGAGAGTACAACCTGAGTGATTATTATTTCAAATTACTTTTTTTTCTTGCTAAAGAATTAATTTTTTTTAGTGTTTATCCAATTTATTTTTGGGGGGTGGGTGGATGTATTTTTTATGGACCTTTGCTGAGAATGTGTCTTGGTATGACACATGCTGACAAACACATGTCTGTCCATATACACATATGTGTAAACATGTGCACACATGCAGGTGTATGGGCTGCATGTATTTACACGTGCACTTGTGTTTACATATGCGCACATGTGTGCATATGCCCACCTATATGTAAACACATATATACACACATACTTTCCAAAGTAATAATCTGCTTGTGATAGTTTCTCAGGATACCTAGTCCGTGAATGAGGATGGTTTGCAAAGGGCATTTAAGCTGAGTGCAACGTGGCGTTGTACCTGAGTGATCCTAATGGTTCACTGATGCTGGGAAAGGCAGCCCCAACTTCAGCTGTCTTATTCCCACCACTTTTCATCAGCGCTGATGAAAACATTGAGGGAGCTAAATAATGTTTTTTCAGGGTCACTTTTTGGTGATTCAGCTCTGGGATTTGGCTCACTGCAGCAGCAGGTGAGCTCTGGTGACAATTCCGAGAGAGAAGGGGTGGTGGCAGACATGCACAGTGGGGAAGAGAGGTTGTGACCTGCAGAAGGACGTTGCTTCTCACTTAGCTTGACTGTAATGAAAGATGTCTTTATTGGGAAGCAGTTACTGTGCTATAAAAATAGAGTTACTGCCAGGTTAAGTTGAATAATTCAATATGTCCTTACTTGGCTGTTTGTTTTCAAGGCTCAGATTTTAGACTTATACTTCAGTATGTCCTGTATGAGAATAGAAAGGAAGACAGGGGAAATCATGCAGGGTATTTTGCTGATTATATTCAAATATTTTATCATTTGGGGTCTCAGTTTGCGGAAAGCATTGCTGATTTTTTAAAAGCTGAGAGATAAAGGGGAGGTTACCAAAATTAGTAATTATTTTAAAAGTGTGCCCATAAATCATGGAATCCTTTCTTGAGGTGATGGAGGAAGGCTTGTTTGTTTGCAAGAAATGTGGCTACAGTTTTGAGTCTCATCACCACCTCAATATAATTAATTTGTTTGGATTAGTTCCTATTGGGTTCTGCATAGCTCTCTTTGAATTTAATAGATCTTGATTAAATATTTCTGAGGTCTAATTTTTGAACTTGGTGGCATCCTTATTTTGTCTTTGCAGGTTGTCTTGGAGTGGAGTAGAGACCAGTATCATGTTATGTTTGATTCATACAGAGACAATGTTGCTGGTAAATCATTTCAGAATCGGTAAGTTTTGCTTGTGGTTGAAAGTGCATGTTTTACTGTGTGAATTTTCAAATATTTAAATCAAATAGCTAACATAATATATGCCTAAGTAGGACTGTATATGAGCTCTAGTTCTTCACTAAATTTTAAATTTTCCAATCTAAAATTGTACTTTAGTACTTAATACAGCAGCTTAGAGGATGTATGAAATTTGGAAGCTGTCATCACATAACAGAGTTTAGATGCAAAATGCAGTCCATAATGAAAAAACCACTGGTAATCTTGACAACAAAGGTGGAACATGACATGTTTTCTCTACTAAAGTAGGAAAATATGAATTTTGCTAGGTGCACTTAAGATTGCTTTCAGTGTTTTTCAGTGTTAAAGTTATTTTCCATTTAATTCCCTTTAACTTCACTTTAATTTTATATGTCATTTAATGAGGGATGGTAGAAAAAAAAATCACAAAGTTAGTAGTTGGAAACTTGTAAAGATGAACACATTGGAGCAGTCACATGGCAAACTGGAACCCAAGTCAGATGGCCCGTTTGTTGTGTTAACTGCTACGTGGCTTCTTGTGGTTTTGTAGCTCAGATCTGAATAGAGATGGTTGCTCTTGAAGCCAGTGGGCTGAGGAGGGAGAAGAAGCTAGTAAGGAGATACCATCTGACTCGTGAATGTTGATACACTCGACTGGAAAAAAACGTGAAAGCAGATGCTTCATCTGACTTGAGGTTTGCTGACTCACAGGGTAGTAGAAGTGTTGAGATCAGTGTGTCATGCTGTAGCTAGTGTGAGATAATTTTTTATAAGACCTTCACACGGTATTTGTGAGTATGACTTTTGTAGTCTCATCTTCCACTCCCCTATTTTCCAAGGAATTACAGATCAAAGTGGAATGATACAGCTCCTGTTGGTAATTAGTTTGGTGTTCACATATTTCTGTAGTGCTAAAGTGAAAGGATGGTAGTTTATTTCTATCTATGCAAACCTGTCTGATCCTGCAGTAATTAAATACAGGGCTTTTATAAAATTGTAACATGGTGCTGAAGTTCATTGGAGTTTATCAATATGTCTTTGCTGCTGTTTCATCAGGCCTGACAGGGAGGTTTGTACGCAGATACCAGCTTCCTGTAAAAATTCATGGAAAACCCTTACCAAAAAAGCTCTTTTCAGGGATGTAATTTTAGCCATCCATTAAGTTTAGGTGTCCATTAGCAGCATTTCAGTACCTTTTTTATTATCCCATCTTGTGAATGAAGTAATGGACCTCTTGTTGTAGTTTGCACTGTCATTAGTGTCTTGATTTTTTAAGGCTGATATCAGTGCTACATATGGGGTGTCGTGTGCTTTTTACATAGTTGAGGATTGCAGTCTTCTAATTTTGATCCTAGACTGAGGATTGTAGCCTTCCCATTTTCATTCTAGATTATCCATTGGTTTTTTTTTTCTTTATTATTCCCATCAGTTCTTATTTTGATGTCAGAAAAAAAATAATCGGAATTGGAAAACGGCAAACTTCTTCCTCTTGAAATTAAGCAGATCTACAGTTTACTGGAAAGTAAAAATTGTATGACTATGACAAAATGCCAGTGTAACTTCTATTATCTTCCAGGTGTTTTGCAGGAAAAAAATCTCTGTTCTTATCAAACCATTATGCATTATAAAGAAAACATTAGTGTAAAATGCAGTCAAACTTAGGCACATGGGGGCAATCTGCTTTTGGCTGTAAGTTTGTACAGCTCTTTTTTAGGAGCAACTTAGTGGGTTACCAGCATTATTAGTAATAACTATTGAAAACTGTTCCCTGGAGGAAAGCCTTCTTGTTTTGCCTTGCTTTTTCAAAACTGCTAAGCTTTGCTTTCCCATCTGGTCATATATCTTTTGACAATTTAGCTATTGCACCTCCAGGTCGTCGTGTCAGCTACTAAATTTGCTTCTTTTGCTATCTGAGCATTTATGCAGCTAGAGATAGAGGAATACAAGCTTCAGGGCTGTTTATTGAGTCACCTTATTCAAAACCATTTTTGAAGACCTGCTCATTTGGTTTTTGTGTGAAAGTAAAATGGAGAGAAGGAAACTAAATGACAGAGCTGCATATGTATTTGAATGTCTTATCCACTCACACAGTGGTTTTTTTTTTTTTTTTTTTTACTCTTCATCAATGACTTCTTCTGCATTTTGGCAAATGCTGGCCTGTAATTTTTCTATTCTGGGACACGACCAAATCATACTTAACATTCCAAAATATGCCAGGAAACAAAATTTGAAGAAGCAAACCCCATCTTACAGAAGTACAGATAGAGTTCTGTGTGGTACAGAAGGGGTGGGAAAGCCATTAATTGTTGAGCTTTGGCAAAAGCTTTAACAAAAAGGTGAAATAACACTGTTACGGTTAATCCTAATTGGGAACTTTAAATTTGCCTTTTTAGTGTGATACTTGATAGCTGCTACTTCCCCAAACAAAGTGTGCTAAGTTGCTTAGAAATGCTCTAAAGAAAATATTCAATTATTTGGAGAGATTTTAAACAACTGGACGAATGTTTCTGCACACAGTTCGGTTCACTTTCTTTCACAGCTTTCTTTTTTCTCTACTAGTCTCTCTAATCCCAAGAAGAAGAAACTTGTCACACTGGGATTAATTCGGAATTGTACCTGAATCTGAGCATGAAATAATACCCATAAATGCTTTTCCTCTATACTGTTTATCAGCATTTTGCTGCAAATGACATCATTTCAAAGGCACAAATTTCAAATGTAGGAAATATTGTAGCTGCAGTTGATACACTGTATAGAAATACATTATTAGCAAATGATAAATTGGGCGGAGGCTTCACAAAGGTCAAAATACTGCAAAAATTGCCTTGTAGCCTAATAGTTGGATTTTTTCCATGTTTTATGTTCTTAGATGAAGCTTGGGTAAACAAACTCTGCACTTTGCCCAGAAGACAGAGTTGTGCATTGTTGGAATCAGGTGACTTGAGGCAAGGTGTTTCCACTTAAAATACTTCTGTCCTAGTTGTAGAAATCAGGGGACTAAAATAAATGTAACTCATCATAACAAATGTAGAAAAGCTGAAAGAATTCCTGTCAGGAAGCTTCTAGTTTTGTGAAGGACATTTTAATTGAAAACACACCTTGAGTTTTACCAAAAGCTAGTATGGTCTCTTGAAGCAGAGGTGAAACAAGTGATTAAGGGGTAACTGTATTCATAAATGAGCTTTCTTTACCACTTGAGAAAGCAGCCTCTTGCAGACGGCAAGAAGGTTTTGCACATGAGAGATGAGAAGGATGTGCTCGGTGGTGGTGCAGGGGAAGGCAGTGCTGCTTATTTGATGTTCCAGCTGTCTTCACAGAGACCGACTGCTACTTTTAAAGTATCATAGCACAGCTCTTAGCAACACTCCTGAATTGAGTACAGAGTGTTCCTGTCTGTTATGTTGTGGCCAGCTGTGTCATATGGTGTGTGGGGAAATGGAGGAGATGCTCATCCATAAACCACCTCTTTTTTTGACTATCTTTTGAAGGATGCATTTGGTGGGGATCGGGGCGGGGAGCGGGGGTTGCTGTTTCTTTGAAAAATCACGTTGTGTGGCTCTGTGGATCTTAGCATTAAGAAAATGCTCAGAAATGTTTATTATGAAGATGCTGTTTTTCTCTGCTTATCACACTCTACCTTCTGTTCCACTGAGGCAGAGAGGTCATCCAGATAGAGCAGAAATCACTATGCAGAGATTTAGGTTAATTAAGTATAGTTTATTATGCTTGGCAAGAGGATAGATTATTGCATTCTGATAAAGTGTGTGGCAACCAACTACAATTTAGCAAAGTTATTACTGTGACGTGGAAACTTTGAAAAGAGTAGTTGGAGTGTTCACCTGCTATCTAGGACTGAGAGCTTCATCTCTGCCAGCAGCCTGAAGTACCTGCTGAAAGAAAGATTTGGGCCTCAGAAAGGAAGTTCTCGTAAATAAACAGAAAAAAAAATTCTTTGCAGGTTCCCCATCAAATATGCTAGAAAATCTGTGAAGTTTCAGAAGCATATGCAGCACATCTAGTTATATCTAGAGTGAATTTGACTGTTGTTGTCTAGGGTCTGCATTCATGTACTTCACTTTGATTGTTGGTATGAAATGAAAATGAAACTGAGATCCAAGAGGAGTTACAAGGGTAAAGATCTGATCTTACTGAGACCCTGTTGGCTCTGGACAATTAAGTAACAACATAAGACTTAAGAGATTTTGTACCTTGGGCTGCCTACTTTGCCTTATTTCCAGTAGTCTCTGAATTGAGGATGTTCTTGGATGGCGTTACTCATTTGAGAAATATTAGCTAAACTCAGACAAGTTAGTTAGATGTAAGTGAACTTCAGAATTCAAAGTTTGTATTTCATTTTGTTGAATTATTGTAACTGTTCTTTCCTTTTCATAGACTCATAGAATGCTTAAGGTTGGAAGGGACCTCTAGAGGTCATCTAGTCCAATCCCCCCTGCACACGCAGGGTCACCTAGAGCACGTGGCACAGGACTGCATCCGAGCGGGTTTGGAAGATCTCCAGAGAAGGAGACTCCACAACCTCTCTGGGCAGCCTGTTCCAGGGCTCTGTCACCCTCACTGTTAAGAAATGTTTCCTTAAGTTCCTGTGGAACTTTTGATGCTTCAGTTTCCGGCTGTCCCCTCTAGTTCTGTTGGTGGTCACCAGTGAAAAGAGGCCAGCACCATCCTCCTCACTGCCTCCCTTGAGGTACTTATAGACACTGATTAGATCCCCTCTCAGCCTTCTCTTCTCCAGGCTGAACAGGCCCAGCTCCCTCAGCCTCTCCTCATAGGGCAGATGTTCCAGGCCCCTGATCATCCTTGTGGCCCTGCGCTGGACTCTCTCCAGCAGCTCCACATCCCTCTTGTACAGTGGAGCCCAGAACAGGACACAATACTCCAGATGTGGCCTCACCAGGGCTGAGTAGAGGGGCAGGATCATCTCCCTCGACCTGCTGGAGATGCTCTTCTTAATGCACCTCAGGATCCCATTGGCCTTCTTGGCCACGAGGGCAGTGGCTTCCTCGCTTTTATCTGGGCTGTTTTGTTGAAGCCTTGGATATAATTAAGAGATGATACCTAGCTAAAGAGAAGGTTTTTTTTTGCTTTGTCTTGTTTGTGGCTCAGGTTCGGATATTTCTGTTGTTTGCCAGGAGCTGCTATCAAATGCCACAAACCCTTCTGATGTAGTATTTAACAGCTCATGTAGCTTTCATTTGCATTATACAGGCTTTGCTTACCCATGCCCATTGATGTGGTGTACACCTGGGTGAATGGCACAGATGTGGAACTGATCAAAGAATTGCAACAGGTTAGAGAACAGATGGAGGAAGAACAGAAAATAATGAGGTAATAATCTGACTTTTTTTTCTCTCTCCCTTTAACCGTCAGGAACAATCTAATGCAGTACTGGGCTTCTTGTGATTTCATGTGTAGCTTAACATGAAAATCAAAGTGAATTTTTATCATTTCCTCATTTGATTATTCTGAAAGCCTAGTTTCACATTTTTTTAAAGCTATGAAGTACTGTCTAATTAGACAGCTCTTTTAGGTAGAAAGCTTAATAATTTAAGGCTGTTCTCTCTTGAACTTGTAAAATGACATGCAAAAAACTGCATTGTGTTTAAGTCATTTTCTGTCATTTCCTAAAGCTTTGGAAACAGGAAAATAAAACTAGCTGAAACATATAACCTTTCTTCATCACCATCTTCCTTCTCCCCAGTTATTACTTTCCAGTTAAAAAAAAATAAGTATATACTTTTAAAGGCTCCTTTTTAATGTTAACTTTTCAGTCTTCCTGATGCGGAAACTGAAAAAGGAGAAATAATTTATTTAGGTTATGAAAGAATGATTCACTCTTCTCATGAAGCTAGCAGGGAAAGATGTGTGGCTGCATTAAGAGTATTTTTGGTTGCACTATGCTGTTCTACAAAATTACCGATCTAAGGCGACAAACGTACATTTTTTCTTCTTAGCCAACGTGGGCTGCTGCAAATTACTTGGGTTGTGTTTTCTAACCATTGGTGTGTGGTTCATTAAAATTCTCTAGTCTGTTGACTAGTTTTGGCCAGAAAAATATTAAGTTAAAGAATTAGACTATATTTTAAGTACTGTAATAGCTTAATTCAAAAGAAGGTTGATCTGATATTTGTCATGTTTTGTCTTGCAATTAGGTACCATTGATAATCTGATTGCAAAGTGAAATTCTTAATAGCATTTTAAGTGTGGTAAATTTAAACGTCTTAAATACAGACATGGTCTCTGCTCAAACAAAACTTTTGCATTTATACTGATCTCTTCCTAACTATTTGTGTAGTAAGCATTAGTGTTTTTTGGCTTCATGGTATCAGTGGGTAGAAAGATGCTGATTTTCATTTTTGCAAAGGGAAAAATATATATTGACTTCTTCAGTAAAGCCGATGTGGAAAATTTCATGTCAAGCTCACAAGTACAACTCATCTTAGTTACGCTTGTTGTCTGGAAGGACATCTCTCCTGTGTGCATTGCTGTTTTTTCTTTTCACCATGTACTCTGAAAGTAGTTAGTACTGTTACAACAAGAGTTGTTTTATGGGATAAGAGGCCTGCAGAAAAGAGAGGCTGGGGCACTATAAGCCTTTGCCAGTGAGTATGTGTTTGTGTCGCACAGCGAGTTGCAGCTCACTTATTGATCCACCTGAATCACACTTTCAGTCCTTATGCACGTGCTTTTTTCTTCAGTGAGAAAGAGTATCTTGGTGGCTGGTGATTCTCTGTCTGTGTTGATATATGTAATGGGCTGCCCTTCTGATTCTTATTTTTTTAGTGTCAGTTTTTTAACTAGCCACAAGTTAATTCTCATTAGGTTCTACAAGCACATGGCCAATGCAGGATAGGCCTAATCAGGATGTGTGTGTTAGGTAAAACTATGACCAGTGAAAACAATGAGCATACACCTCATCTTCATTTCTTACTGGTGATTTTTTTTTGTCAACTGCAGTTTCATTAGTATAATAATAATCTCTGCTAACCCAAGATGTTAGCAAAGAAAAAAACCCACGTGTGTAACTATGAGTAAAACCAAGAATTGAAGAGTTTACGCTGAAAAGGGGGGTGAAGGAGTGTGTGTCAGCCTCTGTGCATATGTAAGCCTGTATTAGCCCACGTAGGCAAATAGCAAAGCCTTGGCAGTGTTACAGCTGGGTTATTGGTGCTGTTACTGGTGCTGCTGAAGTTCACAGGGTCTCCTAGACTCAATTAGAAATCTGAATATTAGACTAAATTCTTTTATAGGCATTGTTATCTAATATAGATCTTTTAATAGGGAAATCCTTGGAAAGAATGCTACAGAACCAACCAAAAAGAGGTGAGCTGCTTGTTTGTTTGTTTGTTTTTTGTCTTGGCTATAAATGAAAATAAATGATAGCCTACTCACAATTTAGTTGAAAGCTTATTGCTGATTGTGAGGTTTTATATGACCTGTGAATACTTCCCTTCTGTGCCGTTTCAAGAGAAGTTGACAGCATGATAATATATATGTTGAATACAAGTCATGTTATTTTCATAAATATAAGCTGTTTAGTGGGGCAGCTTCTGAAGCTTGAGCACAGATTTGTCACTCGTTAAGCACAGCTTGCTTTGTAAGTATGTTTTCTCTAAAGCATGGTGCTCATGAGTCTTGTAATTCAGAAGTATTTCAGCCATACCTTTGGTGCACTGGCAGAAAGCAGTCAGTCTCAGTCTTATCAGTTTTGGTCATGGTGTCATCTAGAGATCTGTAAGGTCTTGTATTTGGTCAAAGCTTAGTACATTTTGAAATTTTGACAAAATTCCCATATGAATACTTGAATGAGAAGAGATTTGTATGGAGGTAGGATAGGATGAGTGAATCAGTAGCAGGAATTAGCTAAGCTGTAATAGCAAGATACTTCTTTTCAATAGCAAAATAAACATCTCAGTCATCCTCTTCCCTTTCTTCCAAGGTTGATGTTAAAAAGAATTAATCAGATTTTATGAAAATATGTTTCACCTCCCATTGATTTTTATATATATTTTTTCTACTGGCATTAAATTTATCTTTGGTATTTCGCCCTAGTGAGAAGCAACTGGAATGTTTGCTGACACACTGCATTAAAGTGCCAATGCTTGTCCTGGATCCTGCACTGCCTACCAACGTCACCCTGAAAGATCTGCTGTCCATTCATCCTGCTTTACAAGCTGCTAACAATATGTTCTTTGTCGCAAAACCAAAAAATCCTTCTACCAATGTGACAGTAATTGTTTTTGATAGCCCTAAGGATGGTAAGAATCTACGTCGGATTCCAGCTAGTTTTCTAGATTCTAGCTAGTTTTCTAGAGGAAGTTTTTACAAATTATTATAAATTAGTTTTTTTTTTCTTTCGTTACTGACTTTGCCACTCCTTTTCTGTTTGATTTTTAGCAAGTGAATCTACATCTTTCCCCTTCAGTCTGTTCCCCTAAATGGCAATATAAGTGATACTATGCTTTTTTTTTTTTTTTTTAATCTCCCAGACAACTGATTGTGAGTGATTAGAGTTCTGTGCTTAGAAGAACTTTTGTAAAATAAATTTGGTATTTGAATATCTGTGGTGCACTGATAGACTAAGAAGACTGAGATTGATTGAAGATGATTAATCTTAGAATTGCTGTAAAGTCTGGGCTATGAAAGTTCTCCCCTTGCTCAAAGAATTGTGCACCTTAAAAACAGAAGTGTCTATATATTCAGCATGTATATGTAATATCTGAAAGCAAGTACAAATTTATTTCTTTGTTTAATGCATAGTGTCCAGCCAGTTGTCTGTTTTTCCACTGAGAATTATTAGCCAAGTGAAAAGGCAGCTCTTCACTCTGCAAGCATCCAAAACCTTGTAATATGTCAAAGCCAATATTGATTCAATAGTATACACAAAAGAAGTGACCTCAAATTTTTGATTTGTGATGTTTTATGTATTTTAGCTGAAGCTGCCCATTCCGGAATGTTAAAAGACAGCAGCAAACAGATAGTATGGAGGGGTTATTTGGTATGTACTTTTAAAGTCTTTTAATTAACACGTACAAAAGCTAGATGCTAAACTTTCTACACCTGTTTAGAAAGTATTTCTATGCTATAATCTTTCCATGGATCTGTATGTACTAAGAAATCAAAGCTTTTAAAATTACTGTTATTTCAGTTTTGAGGTTTGGGTTATGACATAAAATATACAGTTAACTCTGTCATCTCGTTAAATTTGACAGAGAAATGTGGATTACTGTAAATTTAAAAACAGGAATTTGTCTCTTTCTTTGTAGACAACAGACAAAGAAGTTCCAGGCCTAGTGCTGATGCAAGACTTGGCCTTCCTTAGTGGATTTCCAGCTACATTCAAAGAAACGAATCAGCTACGAACAAAGCTACCAGAGAGTCTGGCCTCCAAAGTCAAACTGGTAAGGGTCTGAAGGGAGGATAACTTAGCTCTCATACATGAAAATTAAAAAAAAAATAGCTCTCATTAGAAAAATATAATATATATATATATATATATATATAAATATATATATATATTTTAATTCTTTATCGGAGCTAGCCCACCAATCAGAAGAGCTGTTGCAAATGACTTAGGATGTTTTTGACAGTAGTCTGTTTTGCTGTACAAGTGTCTCTGACTTGTAAAGCCTAGTGAGTAGAGACTCAGCTACCTTCAAAAGACCCATTGTCCATTCTGTGCTTCCAGTGCAAGCTATGGGCATTAGATTTGCTAGCCTGCAACTGGTCAAAAACAGGAGCTACCAGCTTTACCAGTTTCTCTGAGCTGCTTACTATAGGCTGCTGTACTGTGGTACTGGTTTGTTTAACCTGGCAGAACTTTATGTAGTTACATAGATTTTTTTTTTCCTCTTTGCTTTTGGAAGAATTATTTTAGCAATGAGAAACTTGAATTGTTTCATAGCTGAATGATGTATTCCTCACTGTTAAGTACTCCATAGTCTTCAACAACTTGTAGTCGCAAAAGCAACTGTGTATTACAACTGGACTGACTGTGCCATCCGTCAGTATTTCCTGCTTTCTATTCTCCCCTGACTTGGGACATTTTTTGCCAGTTACAGACAGGTGTTATAGACAGGTAAAAGCTTCAAATTTTGTCAAAATCATTGGCTTAGGTGATGGAGAGATTGGATCAAGCACTCTTCTGAAGCATATGCTCAGCTAGCTGAGTGACCAGTGTTGCTAGTTAACCAAGCTCGATACCTTGTGCAAGAGCTTTGGGAGAATGATAAGAAAGAGGCTGAGACCAGGCAGTTTGCAAAGGAGAAAGGAGTTAGCAGAGTAAAAGACTCAGGATGTGAATCTACTGGAAATTTACCTCCGTTAGTTCAGATGGCCATCTGTAGGTTCTGCTAGTTCACTCTACAGCTTGTTCTTGGGGCTCAGAGGAGCAAGTCTTGCTTTCATTGCTTCTCTTTGACAGTTTACATTGTTAAACCATGTATTCTGCTGTTGCTGAGAACTGTATCATGTAACCCTTTTCATAGGCTGTTGACACTGCAATTTAATACATTGAATTTCTTCCCCATTATTTTAGCAGGTGGCCTCAGTATCTCCCTAGCAGTAGTTAGAAACCTTACGAAATAAACATGTTTGTGCCTGTCTTTCTACCCACTCTTCGTTAACTTACACAACTCTTTTGTTTTTGCCTTCCTTTACAGCTTAGGGTATTTCATAGACAGCAGGAGAGGCTTCTCCTCGCCCTTGTTTTACTAAGGCAATTAGGCTGTTCTCTTCCCACGGTGTTGGCTCTCTGCTCCTCTCATCATCCTAACAGCACATTCCTATCGCTGCTCCGTTGTGAGTCCATCCATCCTCAGTACAGTTGACTAGAACTTTATCCAGCATTTCAAAAGAGATGTCACCAGGCTTTTTACAGTGATATGTATGTAGTACCTGCCTCAGCCTGCCAGACTGTCAGGGATTTGCTGTGTACTGGCTTCTGTTCAGTACAACCAGCACTGCAACTGCTGCTGTCCAGCCTTCCTTGCATCCTTCTACTGCTTCAAAGTGGTGGCATTGATAGAATTCTTTCCTGCTTGTACAGCTTTTTTTTTTTTTAAAAAAAAAAAAACTTTTACAAATAAGCGGCATGTTGAAAGAGAAATACATGTAGACACATATAGTTAAAAAGTAAAATAGCATCTTGGTCTAATTCTTTATTCAGAGGGGAAAAATAATTAGTCTAATAAGACAGCCAAATTGGAAATCATAGAGCTAAAATGTAATTCTGCATTTAAAAGCAAGTTCAAGCATCTAACAACTCATCTGATAACAGAAAATGATTATTTTGAGGGGAATTTCTGTCATCAGATTATCATTTCTTAGAAAGTTGTATGCAATAGGGTGATTTTTCTAGAACCTAGAAATAGATTTTTCTGTTTCTAGGCAGTAAGAAAGGTAAAATAATAATGCTAGTTTGCAGGCTGGTATCTTGATCATCTCCATGTTGGGGCCACAGGTGGAATAACTGGTTGAACACTTAGTATCTCAAGATCTCTGAGTGCCAGTTTATCTATCTGGGTGTGGAACTTTCTCTAGTTCTTTGTCACAGCTTAAATTGCAGTTATGTGGTAGTTTTAACAGATTTGACTTAGTGGAGCTGAGACGTTCAGAATGTCTTTGTTTACAAGCTTTCTTCATATATTAGACTGCCTATTTTCAGTCAAGAAATGTAGTAACCAGATGTTCCTTAGTTCTTTCAATTTTGATTTAAAACAATTTAACTTACGTTTTCTAGGAAGAACTCTTTTATTATGTCCTCATGAATTATCAAATTTGTATCTGAAATAATACTGCCTCTTATCAGTTCTGAGTGAATTTGACAGAAAATAAACATGCCTGCTTCCACATACAGGAATATCTAGCAGCACCTCCCCTAAGCAGTGCTTGCAACTCTGTAGCAATAATCTCCTGTAATAATAACACTTCTAAGGAGTGATCCCCTTTCAGTTCAGATTTGGTTTTCATTTTTTGTGCTCTGAGCAGATGTTGTTTTGTCCTCTTTGTCCAAAGTGATTTTGCCTTAAATCAGATCTTTTATCCCTAGTACCTGGCTTTTTTTTTCTGCATTCTGGTTTCCTGCATCATAAATGTTTAGTGGTCCTTTTTCAGACTAACTTTATGCGTCTTTCTTGGACCCTTGTGAATCCTTCTGTCAGTCCTGATTTGATATTCTACCACCTGCCCTTTCTCCCTGTGATGTGTCACAGCTTGTACTGATCATTTTGTTGCACAGCTTTGTTTTAAATATCTATTTTTGCTTGTTTTGTTCCCCAGCTTCCCCCAGGCACTTTTTAACTTTAATAGTTATGGTTATTTCTCTGACTTTGGTATCTTAACTATTGTTCCAGTCAGTGGAACTGGTGCTTTTTCTTGATATTCCTTTGTGTGTTGATGTTTCCAGCGTAGAGAAGTTCACAAGTTTCTCCAGGATTTCTCCCTTTGATCAGTGAAGCACAGACTAGCCTAGCCTGTGACCCCGATGCTGTAGTGGAGATATTCCACAAAGAGATTTTCCTATGCATGCTTTAGAGAAGACTCTATCTTTTGTCTTATAACTGCTTTTACTTGTTAAGGAGTGGAGCAATTCTGTGTGAACCTTAATTTTTGATTGTTATCTCTAGCTGTGTATAAGTTCTTCTTTTTTGTTGTTTTTTTCTTTTTTCTTTCACTTGTTTTCTTCTAGCAGGATCTCCTGGCACTGTTGCTTACTCCGGCATAAACCATGGTGATGGATTCTTTCTGTGTTTCAGTTCTGCTCATGTCCATACAAGCTGGCTAAGTTGTTTTCTCTATCCAGGCTGGCTCTTAGTTTAGCCTTTTAATAAATCTTCAAAGATGCATTTGTTTCCCCATTGCCTGCAAGACTATCTCTGATGTTTGGCTGTGTCTTATTTCTTCTTGTCTGTTTTATGGGATTGATGACACTTGCCTGATATCTACATGATTTGTCCTTACTTGGTCTCAGTTGAGTCTTTTTCTGTTTTCAGACAGAAACAGATTAAACATCAACAAATGATGTTTAATCATTTGTTATCCAAGTGATCACAAATCTTTCTCTGTTAGTTCTGGTTTTCTTCTCCTTATTGTGCTCTTATCTTTATTACTGCTGTGTCCAGCTCATTATCAGTTCCTAAGAGCTCCTCTTCTGCAATTTGCTTAGGCACTGCTCCGTATAGACACAGGGCTTTTTTTTTTTTTTTTTCTTTCCCTCCCTAAGTTTCCACTGCATTTTGCTTTATTTCAAGCAAGGTTCAGAGGAGAGAAAAGTAGGAGAAACAGCCATTGTTTTAATCGAATTGTTTTCTGTTTGCTTGAAAACATTTGTGAATCTAAAGAGTATTAAGAATTGACCTGACCTCTAGGCCATGTGTTTCTTGTTCTAAAAATTCGTGGTAGTTTTCTGCAAGAAGCAGTTGGGCTCAACTGGGAAAGGGAAATGAGTGAATTTTCAAAGTAAGCTTGTATGCTATAGTTTGCTGAATTTGTGTACTTACGACATACATATTATTTCTGATTAAAAAGTAGACATCAGGGCATGTGCCCTGACGTTTGTTTCTTTACATGATGTGTGTTTAGATAGGTGTGGTGGAAAAGGTGTGTTTGGCTGCCCTTTATTTTCTGCACTCTCGGTCTGGTGCATTAGGTGGAGCTCTTACCCTCGTTATCCTGGTTATGCAGCCTTCTACTATTAAAGCAATATTGCTTTAAATTGTAAAAGTGGTACATTGAGCTTAGTTATTTGCAAGTATAAATGGAAAAAAAAAAGCTTTATTTTCCCCTTCTCCCTTTCCTGCTTACCTGAATTTCTGTTATTGTTTAGCCTGAGAGAGACCATGTGACTTAAGAACAAGGGAACTTCTGTTTTTTTCAGGTTGTTATGTGATTTTTTTCCTTCAAGGTCCTACATCCCAGTTGCTTCAGATTATATTGAAAGCTTCCTGCTCTCCTTCCTTTCTGAAATAATTGTTTCTTTTCTTTAACATGTGCATGTGCAAATGAATGCACACATACACACAAATAAATTAGCTAGAAACTGAGACAAAAATGTAGCTTCTATTGGCCTTGTACCACTGATGGAAAGTGATGGCACAGAGCAGCCTGCAGGCACAGTTCTGCCGAGGTAGCAAATGCAAGAGCAGCCGCTGTTGTAGTGACACGTGGCCTGCACACCTTAAGGTTATTCATATCCTAGGAGAGCTCTTGTCTGTGTTGGAAGGCAAAGAGAGGCAGCTTCAGGAAACAGCTTTGTCTTTCCACAGAGTTTCGAGTCAGTTTTGTGGGGTGAAAAATAAGGCACTGAGCTGGTTTTTGCTCTCGGGGCCTCTCCTGCTGAGTTACCTACTAGTTCATTAGGTTTTCTTTTTAATGAAAACAGTGTTTCATATTCTTAAGGCATTTTATAACTCTTTAGTACAAACATAGCTTCCTTTCCAAAGCCCCTGTTTTCCTCTCTAACTGGACATAATGAGTTTATTCCTTTTTATCTTCTTAAATGGCCAATGCTGCTGGTTGAGGAGAAGAGATACTTCTTAATTCAACACAGGTATTAGGAAATCTGTTTGCTAGACCTCTTTGCTTGAGAATGTGGAAAGTAGAGTGTTCTGTTTGTGGTGCCTAGCCCTTCTGGCCTGCCTCCTAAACTAACATGTCTAAGCATTGTCAATGCACTGGCTTCAAAAAAACACCTGTATTTAAAGCTACCTGGTGGGGAGAATGCAGTTTTTCTGTCTCTTTTTTTAAAGAGGTTTTTTTTTCATGCCCATATGTCACTGGTATTCTGCATGGACATATGTGCCTATGTGATATTTTTTAGCCTCACTGTGTTAGAAGCCAAGGTTTGCCTGATCATGCTCTCTCTGTGCATTTTTGTTTCTGTTTTACTTGTGCAGTAACCCTTGAGCCTGCTGACCAATTTTGTCAGCATGGACATGATTTCTAGGATGCAGTATTTCAAGGAAGATGGGTAACTGCGTATGTCCCCTGTATAGGGAATGTCCCCACTGAGAGAAGCGCAGTAACTATAAGACATCAGATCTACTAGGAGAGCGTGCTCTTTTGAATACCTCAGCAACAGAAGAGCTTTGGTCAGAGCTTACAGTTTAGTAGAAACTAGATAACTTAAGTCCCCAGATGATAGAAGTCTAACTTCACTGATAGCTCTGCCTGTGAAAGTACTCGTTTCTGGAAAAGCTGTTGGTGGAAAAATACCTTTGGCTGCAGGGTTTCAATGCTCAGGCTGTTTTATCGCCTAAGCTGAGTAGTGGACTCGTGTTTCTTTGCTATTGTTTTTCTACTTGGACTGTTATATATTGAAACCCCATGATGTTTGTGCAATATTAGTGGTGAGCATGGAAACCATTTGTAATGAATCCAGTTAGGAATATGCAGTATATACATCTATTTTGTTGCGTTTGTCATGGTGGGGAAAAAAAAAGAGAAATGACATGTTCCAAAACACTTTTGAGGCTGTAAAGGGGAAGATTTTTGGTTTGTTGCTTGTATATTTTAGATGACAGATTCTAAGGGGCTGTGTGACATTGTTGTATTCCTAAACGAACCACATACCCACTGATGGCAGCTTTGCAATCTGTAGCATTTCGATATTGATATTTTTGGAGTTTGCTAGCTGTGGCTCATAACTATACCTCAGCCGTTTAGCTCCTGAAGCCATCTTTTCCACCCGTAGGTTCAGATGATTCCCTGGAAGGTCTGAGATTTATCAGATTTTTCTAATGGCAGACCTCATAAGTCAGTTTGAAAGCTCTCAAATAGCACATGAGTCAAACCGTCAACAGCTTTAAAATGTCACAAGCAGGACAGCTGGTCTTGCTAAAGGAAGGGGTGGTAACTCTGGGACAAGTGCCATTTTAAAATGAGCAGAAAAGGTCATACTTAATAAATTAAAAAAAAATTAAGGGAAAAATTGTTGAAAGGAATTATGAATTAAAAATGTGCGATGGTTTGGTGTTTTCTTAGCTGACATTCACATCAGCTTTCACACATCTCATATGACTGAAAATCTGATTAGATGTGCTTATTTATCTTCTAAATATCTTCTATCTATCTATCTAGCATAAAGGAACATAAATAAAGGGTTGCATCTGATAAATATGGCTGATGATTCTTCATCAGGCTGTCGAATGGGTGCCCTTGCAGAATCAAAGCGTTTGTGCCTTTAGCTTGCTTGCTTCTACTCACATTTCTACCACTACATAGGGTAAACACAGCGTTTAACTGGGTTAGGCTCTGCTTTTACTGAAATGTCTGGGTGTCCCGCAATTTGCAAGCTAGACTAGCTATTAGAGAGGGCATATAATGCAAGAGCCTCTTGCTTTCCTGTGCATTATGAAAACTGATACCCAGATTCACTAGCGGCAAGAGATAAAAACAGCAAACAGATCAAACAGTGCCCAGCTAAGAAATGACCTTAACAGCATATTGGCAGCCATCGTTGAGGACTTGGAAACCCACATGGATTAGTTCTGGAGCCCTTTGTATCTCAGATTTCTGAACTGTAAACCATTCTGAAAATTTCACACTTCTGAAAGCTTAGATGAATTGATGGCCTTAATTTACCCAGAAAAGTGTCACTTGAATAAAAAGGAAAAAAAAAAAGAAAAAAAGAGTAATTCTTTCACCTGTAAAATAAAGTTTAAATAGAACATGAACTTTGTTATTGTGGGATGGGAGGGAGTGAGCAGTGCAGCTTCATGTATTCAAGAGATAGTTTTAACATGCACAGGTATATTATTGCTGGATTATTGTATAAAAAGAAATTTATATGAAAAGAATAAAGCCAAGCATCTACAAATGTTCCATGCATTTAAATGTCAATTTTAATTTCTCGTTTTATTACTCCTTTCTTACAAAATAGTAGTTTTAAAGTCAGGTTTTCCCTAACATTTTTATTAGTAACTCAAATGAGAGGAAAAAAGTAACAAAAAGATTAAATTGAATTGAATTGGCAAAGGAGGGATATTGCTTTTGTGAATACATGCCAGAAATAATTAATTAATTAATGTATTTATTTATTTCCTTTCTCCTGCCTGTGTAGTTGCAGCTCTATTCAGAAGCCAGTGTGGCTCTCTTGCAGCTTAATAACCCTAAGGGTTTCCAAGAACTGAGCAAGCAAGCAAAGAAGAACATGACTATAGATGGAAAAGAATTGATGCTTAATCCTGCTTATTTACTTTGGGACCTCAGCTCTGTCAGTCAGGTAGGTAAATTTTGTTAAGGTGTGTAAATATTACAATATCTAAAATTTCCAAGTAGAAGCTAACTAATTTATGACAAGTAACATAGAATTTTCCAAAAGCTTGGACAGTTAAGAATCCAGTATTTGTTATGTTGTAAGAAAAGGGTCACAAGAACAGTCTCACATCCTGAAATCAAGAAGGCAGAAAGACCACAAGGGCAGCTTCTAATTGAAATTTTCTTGATCTCTGCTGAAAAATCTTTGCCCTTCTGCATGTGTTCTGATATAATTGTGTGCAGTGAGTTCCTGAAAGTCTTCACTGATATCAATTGTCAGATAAGTAGGTTTCTTGTGTGGCACTGGAGAGGCTTTTATTATCAGACATCACACTGTTTCCTTCCTGATGTTTTTATTTGGCATTTTTTGCTTTGCAGCATCACATATGCTGAGGAAGTTGCTTTTCTTCCAAAAATTTAAATAACGGAAATTGTAGATGTCTGAGGAAAGTTTTACATTAAATAAATGGTTTATCAAAAGGAAATGAAAATGTCTGTTTAAACATAAGATCTCTCTTTTTTTTTTTTCCGACAGAATTTTACTTTATAGTAAACATCAAATAACATGGATAAAATAAACATGTGCTTTATAATAAAGCTTGTGGTGTCTGTTTGTATACTGTGAATTTACTTTCAGGGAACTTTTCTCATTAACACAAACCTTGAACTTGGACTTCATGCTTCATCATGTTAAAATAGTGCATTCTTTCACAAATGGGTACCTCACCAGTGCTTGCTGGTGTTCCTAAAAGTTAAGATATTAAGCTGTTACACCACTGAGAATGTGTAAGTTGCGTTACTGTACGTATTGGAGAAGAAGGAGACTTACCTACAAGGCATAGAATTTGCGGTGAAAGTGGTAGTCATTACAAGTTCAAGTTTTCCTAATTTTTTCTTCTGTAATTAGACGTATTCCTTTAGGTGGCCTCAATTGTTAGTTTTAGAAAAGATCATTAAATTCTCAAAAATCGGATGGCAATATATGCTTTACTGTCATAAAAACTAATGTTGTTACTTACTTGAAACTTTCTGCTTAAAATACTGCCTTTTTAATAAAAAGCATGCAGAAACATTTAGCTATTTTGATAGCAAATATTAGGTTTTTGTTATTTTTTCCTGTTAAAAATATATATGTGTGTGTGTGTGTATATATAAAACATATGCATCTTATAGAGTGGTCAGCAGATGTAATGATACCTTGTGGTCAGCTGCCGATGTCCGAAGCATATATCATTGATCTTTATATATCAGTAGACTGTAGTCCTTTAGAAGAGTGATGGTGTTTGATCAATATATCTTTATTTTGAATATGTAAGTCTTGATGTACTCATGCACTATTATGTTAAAGTGTACTGCATGCTATCTGACTGGATCAGAACTTGAAAAAATATATATATATGTGTATATTTTTTAATCTAAGAGGATTTTTCCTTTTTCTAGTCTAAACAGGATGAAGATATTTCTGCCAGCCGTTTTGAAGATAATGAAGAGCTGAGATATTCCCTGCGGTCAATAGAGAGGCATGCCCCTTGGGTGCGACATATTTTCATTGTCACTAATGGGCAGATTCCTTCCTGGCTTAACCTGGATAATCCTCGGATAACTATAGTGACGCACCAGGTAAAACAAACAAACAAACAAAACCCACAGAACAAACAAAAAATAAAACATCAGGGGAAAATGCCACTGTTAAAAGTTATATCTTTGCTTTTGGCTGATAGAGGATAATGCAATTAAAGGCTGCATTTATGAGGAAGGTACAAGTGACCACCTCTTTCCCCTTCACATCCGTGGTTTATTACACCCCAGTGTATTCTTGTATTTCAGTTTGGCTAAGAAAGTAACTGAAGATAAATCAAACCGTCGCTTAGTCCATTTTTCCAGATACTTAGGCTTCAGCTAACATGTACCCGTGTCTAATTTCCTTATAAAATCTATTTATAAAAAAACTGGGGGGAAGAAAATGCCATCTGAATCTCAGTCTGTAAACACTGTCTCGGGATGAGCAATAACTTAATAAACTTCAGACAGGATGGGCTATAGTTACTGAAACTAGGATGTTGGCTGTGAGAAAAGTAGCTATGCATTCTAAAAACATTATTGAGAAAGGGGAGAAAAAAGGACTCAAAGTTTCCTGAATAAGTGAAGCAGCAAAAATACCCTAGTGGCTTCTTATTACAAATTCAGGAGTAATTTTGGTATCTTGAAATGCTAGAACCGAAGAGGTAACAAGACACTAATTCAACTTCTGTTGCTGTCTGCTTGCTGAGTTATTTGTAAGAGATGGAGGAATCCTGACTCCTTGAATGTTGGAACAGGCTTGAAATCTGGGGCAGTCCGAACTGCATAAGATGAATAAATATGTACTTGCTGGGCCTGATCCAGTACCCAGTGAAGTAAATAGGGGTTTGTGTCTAGCCTTGACTCAGGTGCAGCTTTGTTAGTTAACTAACCCACTTGAAAATGATTTTACGTAGGAAAAGGAGATAAAGTTTGTTTCTTTATTGCTAATCACTTTCTGATGTGCTGGGCCTCTGATAGGTGTATTTTGTTTTATCTTGCCTTCTGAAACTGTTTGGGGCTGTTGGGTTTCTTATCTTTCTTTTTTTCTCCTTTTTGTAGGAAATATTTCAGAATGTGAGTCACTTGCCTACATTCAGTTCACCGGCTATCGAAAGTCATATTCATCGTATCAATGGCCTCTCTCAGAAGTTTATTTACCTCAATGATGATGTTATGTTTGGAAAGGATGTTTGGCCTGATGATTTTTACAGTCATTCTAAAGGCCAAAAGGTAAGCTGTTATGAAAGGATGGAAGTTTCGGTGCTAATACCATGGAAAGTAAAGAAATAATACTTTGAAGTATTGGGAGCATGAATATAAGAAGCTTCTGCTTTTCCACTTTCCCCCTACTCCTCTCCAGGGATCATTGCGTTTAGTTCGAGAGTTGTTATCAAAGGTAAAAGGGGGAGAAAGCTTTTGCTTTTTTTTTTTTTTTTTTCTGTGGGGAGGGAATTTGTGCTATGTTCATGCTTAGGTTCAGAACTACCTTTATGTGTGTTTGCTACTGTGTTTCAGAGGGTGTATCTGTTCCCTGCCAGGCTTTCTGCTTTCCTTTTTCATCAGTGTAGTTCCCTAATTCTCCTGCATCCTGTCTGTGCCTGCTTGAGCCCATTCTGGTGTTCAGCAGCTGCTGGGCTTCCCTCCCTTGTGAATTCCTTCTGCTCCATGGGAAACGCTCTGTGCAAAAGGCAGCAGAAGTAATTCTTCCATGGGAATGCTGAAGTCGGGTGGCTTTCAAACTGCTCCAATATTTAAGTTCGCCATTAACATTCTCTATTCCAGACCCCAGAATAGCTTTGCCAACTGTATATAATTATTTACCGTGAGTGTTTCTACACATTTAGTAACAACTGTGGTTAAACGAAGAAAGCAGGCAGAGGAAACATTAGCAATAACCTTGCTGAAAGATTGTTGCCAGCTAAGTTTTCTTCCATGAGCTTAATCTACAGGAAAGCCACGGAGGAAAAACTTTTAAGATTCTGTAATTCTTTGCATTACAGAAATATGCAATGTGACCCAGAAGATACTAGAGGCTATTCAATTAAACACTTCATGTGGGCAGATGTGGCACATCTGCATACCCATACATTTTGTATACCAATACATGCTCTTACTGTGACAATTTTGCAGCCTAATAGGAAAAAAAATGCCAGGAGGGAAAACAAATTTGCCATGGTCATTCTAGGACTAAACCATGACTAGAATGTGGGCTTGAATCTTCTGGTTTGGTGTCCTTCATGTCAAACTATATTTCCATCTGCACAGATAACAGTAGTAGGAGTCTTACAGTAACAAAACACCACAGAGTTTTAAATAAATGTTTTTATTCCTGTTCTGGACAGGTAGAAGGGACAATTGCAAACAACAGCGTCCATCTAAACCTTGCTGTTTCTAGTATTCTCCCATTATGTCTCCATCTGCAGAGTAATAGGAGTTGTACAAAAGTAGTTTAAGGTACTGTAAAATTATTACTTTTAGTATGTGAGGGCATTTGGAGACTTGCAGATGATTTAAAATAAATTATAAAATAGTCAGGTATTTGCCAAATCCTGTGCTTAGTGTATTTTTATTATTCTTCAATTATTCTTCTTTCTCTTATTATAATAAGATCAGTGCAGTTGAAATGTTTCTGATAACCTGATCAGTAAGTGCTTCAGTTGGAAATATGCTACTAAAATCCTGAAACAATAATGCCTAATGAGGAAAGTGTGTAGTCTTAAATGCCTGAGAAGTTGAAAATACACACACCTGGTTTATTATCTTGGCAATTCTTAGAATTATTTAAATTGTAGATCATGAGGGATTATGTTCAACATGTGCTTGTTATCTGATGACTTGTTACTAATGAAGAAACATTTGAGTCAGAAGAACAAGTGAATTGCAAAGCTGTTTTAGATTTGAAGTTCCTCCTTTATGAAATCTTAATATTCACTTGAATGTGTTTTGCAGCAATGAGTGGTGGGGATGGAGATTTGGGAAGTCCGATTTTCTGTTTCTAGCCATTAGTGCCTTGCTGTGTGTGGCTTTGGAGATTCTTTGAACTTCTGAGCCTTGATTTCCTTTTGCCTGAAAATGATAGTATTTACTTCGTAGGTGATAGGATTTAAATGCTGTTTGTGAGGTTTTGTGAACATGTAAAACAACATGCACAGGGAGGGAATTTTTTAAAGTCACTGTAGTCCAAAACTTAGCTCTGTTCACTTTAATTTACCTGTCCTTGTTATAATGTTGTTACAGGTTTACTTGACTTGGCCTGTGCCAAACTGTGCAGAGGGTTGTCCTGGCTCATGGATTAAAGACGGTTACTGTGATAAAGCCTGTAATAACTCAGCCTGTGACTGGGATGGAGGTGATTGCATTGGTAAGATGACAATGTCAAATTTAGAAACAATGAATTGACCTGTTTTTCTGTGGATGTAATGGTAGCACTTTGAGTAGTGTTACAGTTTTGACATCTCCCTTCACATGCCCTCCATTAATATTGCTTACAAGGTTTTACAAATGTGAATTCCAAATCAAACTCAGATCTTGTCGTTAAATATCTGGCCAGCGTAGTTGCTGGGAAGACTTTTTTTTTTCTGTGAGAATTTGTGGTATTACTTAATTTGCAGTGTTCTGAATGTCTCTCCCCTCATGGAGGAAGTTGTCCCAACTAGCTTTACTCATGGCTTACATGTGGAGTTTTTAAAACCATAGTCAAGCACACTCCAAGTAGATTTTCTGCCATTGCTTTGAGTGTAGTCTGTGTTCCACTGTCTTTTCTTTTTGATCTGCTTTCTTGTCTCCTCAATATTGCCAACTCGCGAGCACAAGGAGTAACTTCACTTATCACTTTCCTTGTTACCTCTCTTCCTATTGGGCATTTCATTTCATGTTTTCAATTATTTGTCTAAGAAGCTAGAGGATGACTTCCAAAATGAGCTCATCTTAACTCCCTGAAGTGCAAAAATTTAAAGCACAAAATGCCACCTGGTAAATCAAATTTCTCTTGCAAGTTCTGTGAAATCACAGCTTTATAGCTTCCGAGAAAGGACATTTATCTACTCAGATACTCTAAACTGTGATAACAGCATCACATAAATTGGCAAAAAGTCACTGTGAAAAGCTGCTTCTTGCTCATAATGCTTTTTAACTTAAGGTGCTTGTTGCTGAATGTCTGCCTGGTAGATCCAATAGCTTTTTAGTATAAACGAATGTCTATACCTTCTTAATGCATATCTCCCATGGAAGAAAACCCCAGGGGCTGTTGCTGTGTGGGGGTCTAAATCTGTTTATCCATTCCTCGGTTATCCATTATATCCACACCTTGGAAAAAAAAAAAAGTTGCTTTAACGGAAATGTGAAGTGGGAACAAATAATGCGCCCACCAACTAGAAAAGGCCTGCACAGTTGGACATGCTTAATTTCCTGGAAAGGGTGGTCTTTTTTAGACTCTTATCCATAAATAGAGAGGATTGTGAGAGTGTAAAATGAATAGACTGTTTTTTTATAGTAATGTTTGACATGTCAAGATTCTTCAGTCTCAGCACAGTGTCAGTTTTTTAACATCATTCTGGCCTGAAAAGCATCTAGGTAAAAACATTCCAACTGAAAGGCTGTTTCCTGTATACACGCAGAACAGTGTAGGTATGAGGGGAAAAAATGTATTGCTGTTTGGACATGTGTACGCTGAGGATTTGTCATTTCTCTGAAGATTATCTGCGTTATGTTTTCTTACATTCCAGAGTATTCAGTTGTCCTGCCTAATCCTTTCCTTGTTATTATTGGTGATGACTTTGCACACCCCTTGGAGTGAGAAGGGACTGAAGCTACTATTTCGATAAAAATGAAGGGGAATAGATATAAATGAGAGGAAAATTTTACCCATAGTGTAAGGTACTGATGACAAGCGAGGTGCTAAGAGCCGAGCATGTCTCCTTAGTAGAAAGCTGCCATTATGAAGGCAACCAAAGACTGCATTAATGATGAAATGGGCAGTTCTTCCCAGTCCCTTCTGTATCCCTGGCTACATACCTGTTTCCATCCCTTCATTTGCATTAGTATTTTGTTTTTAAGAATAGTGGTCAGAAGGAAGAAGACGGGTTAATTTGTAGCTGGATGAGATGCTAATACTAGCTGCATAAATGCTAATGCTAGCACATGGTTGTGGTGTGCAAGGAAGTGAACGCACCCTTTGGCAACAGAGCAGTTTTAGATCAGCCTATGCTGATCGTGAAGTTACACCTCAAGTTCCTACATGGATTTTTCAGGAAAGTAGGTTAGAAAAAGGGAGTGATACTTACGGCTTGAGGAAGTGGCACACCCTGGTAGGACTGTGAACAGTCAAAAATGCAAGCAAGAGAAGAATGAAACAAGTTGTCTGCTTGCCTCTTTAAAGTTGAGACAAAATGCATTGTTAACTTTGCTGCATTTTTAAGTTCAACCCCAAATTTAGATAGTATTTATTTTTGCACACTATAGATAGATTTTGCACTAGCACACAGAGGGCTAATTAGCAATCACTGTGTTGTAGCTAAATAAGATTTAACTGACTTTTCAGCCTAGCTTAACAATGTGGTTTAAAATATCACCACAATGCACTCCAGGAAGAAGGATTTCAAAGGACTGTTTTTTTGTTGTTGTTTTTTGTGTGTCCCTCTAGGTAACAGTGGAAGTAGTCGCTACGTTGCTGGAGGTGGTGTGGTCGGAGGCTTAGGGAATGGACTCCCATGGCAGTTTGGTGGAGGAATAAGTGGTGTTTCTTACTGTAACCAAGGCTGTGCTAATTCCTGGCTAGCAGACAAATTCTGCGATCAGGCCTGCAATGTCCTCCCCTGTGGATTTGATGCTGGTGACTGTGGGCAAGGTATGTAAAATACATCACTGATAAACTTTCTGTAGTGATTCTCTCGAGCAGACCTACTTTTTGGGTTTATTATTATTCTCCGATTGTGCTCAGATGCCCTGCAGAGTTGTAGGAAAAAAAGCTGGAGAAAAAGTCAGCAAGACTTCCTATATCTATGAATCCAAACCTGAATTTTATGCTGCTTTATTTGCTGAAGCAGTTATTGGCCAAGCATGGACAGGGTACTTGATATTGTACAGAGTAGCAGGCACTGAATTCCTTGCCTCAAGAAGCTTACATTTGAAATTATATTTCAGATATTCAAAGAGTCTTAGCTAAGAACAACTATGTTTGCTGATGCTCACTGTAGCTAACAAATGAGAGCTTGAGATGCAGGTTCGAGCCATGCTCTGCACTGCTGACACTGGCTGCTTTCAGTCACCTGCGAGTACTGCCAAGAAGTGAGAGTTACCTGAAAATGTCTTCTCCTCGGGTGCTGCACTTTGCAGAGCCTTCATCCATTAATTGCACTTACCCATGGACAGCTGGGTTCAGGATGGACCTCTGAATCTCAGTGTATCCAAAAAGTGAAAATCATTAAACACGTTTCTCTGTCATAGAATCCATTGGGAAGTCTTTTAATACTAAAATACAGGCTATTTGGACATGGAAGGTTACAGATTTACAACTATAATAAAGAAAGCATGGAAGGTAAGGAGCTAGATGCAAAGTGGTGTGGTAGAGCTTCAGGTAGGACAAGGAAATCATGGAGAAATTAGAGCATAGATAGAGCAATGAGAAACTGAAGTTTGAAATGAAAGGCTAGTAGGAGTGCTTGAAGTGTTTGAATGGGTTTTGGCATAGACAAAGGGACAGATATGAAAGAGTAAAGGCTTCCCTGTGAGCTGAGAAAGGAGTTTGTTATGGCCTGCTGTGCTACTGGCAGTGAAGTTTTGTTTGTGTCAGAGCTGACAAGATAATTTATTTCAAACTTAGTGATTCTAGAAGTCTCAAATTGAGATATATTACTGTAGTGAGGTCCCACTTTTGTGACTAAAATGAGACAAAAACACAAGTGTGTTATTTCTAATCTGTCCTTAATTTTAGGTAAGAAAAGCGTAGTAGTGAGCTATGTAGTCTCTGTAGGTAGAGACTGAAAATCTCATCACTGAATGGTGGCTTTTAGAACTGTCACTGGAAGGATTGGCTAAACGAGAAGTGTCAGACTTCAAACTGACAGAAATTTCTTTTTTTTTTTTTTCTTTCGCAGATCACTTTGAAGAGATGTACAAAGTGACACTTCAGCTCAATCAGACTTACTATGTTATTCCAAAAGGTGAATGCCTGCCCTATTTCAGCTTTAGTGAAATAGCCAAGAAAGGAATTGAGGGTTCCTATAGTGATAATCCAATTATCCGGCATGCTTCCGTAGCTAACAAATGGAAGACTATCCACCTCATAATGCATAGCGGCATGAATTCAACCGTGATCTATTTTAATCTTACGTTTCTAAATAAAAATGATGAGGAGTTTAAAATGCAGGTAGCTGTTGAAGCTGACACTAGAGAGGAGCCAAAACTGAACGCAACCTCCACACAAAAATCTACTGCAGAACATAAAACTCCAACTTCAGTACCAGAAGCTGAAATGATATTTGAGGATATTCCTGAAGAAAAGCGCTTTCCAAGAATCAGGAAACGTCTGAACAACACGATGGAGGATCTCCACGAAGTGGTGATAATGCCATCAGTTAATGTGTCTCTGCTTCCCAAAGATGTTCAGCAAGCTCTCCAGAACTTGGAATTAAAACTGGTAAATGGAGATATCACTCAGAAAGGATTTAATGTATCCAAGGCTGCTCTCTTGAGACCTTTTCAGTTCTTGACTACAGTAAAGATCAATGCAAGCCTGGAAAAGAAGGGTGTGGGTTATAGTTCAGAAAATCAGAAGAACTATACGAGTACGCATAAGGCTCATAAAGTTTTGAATGATAGCAAAATAGAAACAACAATGAAAGCAAATGAATTATTTTCTTCAAGGCTGATAGGGACAAAGGGCAGTGTTGTGACAACGAACACAAACAAGCTTGCTTCTAAAATAAGCCCTAAATCCCCACTTCCAGCCCAGAGCATGGGAAATGGAAATGAATCTCAAGAGAAAGTATTGAATGCACTCATGCTAAAGGGAACCCAGAAACCAAAAAATACTGGGAATGTAGAGATTGGAGAAAACATAGAGGGAATGGAAGGAGAAAAAGGACACAAACAGCTGGATACAAATATAAGAGAGGGGTTACTGGGAAGAAAATTACAGTATTATGCTGGAAGTGACCAAGGCTTTTTGCCGTGGGAGAAAAAGAAGTATTTCCAAGACCTTCTTGATGTGAGTATCTTAACTTCACTGCTTAAGTGGAATAATTAATAGGATTTCATTAAATGATGGAAAAAATATGCAGCGTTTTTTGTTTTGTTTTCGATGCTGCTGTGCTGTTGTTTTTTGAAATGTGGCTTGCTTTTGTGACAAATACTGAGGTTTTTGAGAACTTCTTTGAGTTTTCTTACAAAACTTAATTTGATGGTCTGGACATCTCTTAGCTAGGCAGTGAAAACCAAATAGCCGTTTCCTTTCTCTTTCTACTAGATTCTTAGTCTGATTGACTCCTTATTACATGTATGTTGATACAGGGCCAAAATCCTCAAATGCCAAAAACACAACGCTACATCCTCAAATATCATGCAGTTCCATCTGAATGTACTGCAACAGAAAGACAGAAAGCTGTTTTTTGTTTATTTTCTGTGTACAACTTTTGATCCATTCTATTACCCTCCAAAAAAAGAAAAAAACAAACAAACAAAAAAACCCTTAAAACCTATGTATAATGGGAATTATTTGGGGCCTAAAAACTAAAATGAAAGTCTATCAGCAGAACTGTCCAGACCATGTCAAGAAAGCATGCAAGAAGAGAACTTCTCTAGAAAAGAAGATAGAGACTTATTCTTTTGATAACAGCTGATTTCCACTCCTTCAAATACCAAAGGGGCTATATTTTTAAAAGATCACCTGTTTCTGTTGGTCTGGGATTGGCTTTTTGTACAAGGAATCTTTCATATTTGTAGGATTTCAGTACATCTAATATGGATGAGTAATCAGTATATATTTTACAAATATATAAGATAACTAAAAGTGGCTCTGGTGTTTGTGCTTGTGGTTTCTGAGAAAAAACATTATGAAAGATTTTTATAGATCAGAGGATAACAGTTTTGAGGGGAAAAGTTACCTTTTTTCCTCTCTTTAAAGTAAGAACTAAGAAATTTCAAGAAAAAATATTGAAGATATTTCTTAAAGTATTCAACTACTGGGAAGAGCTGACACCTAGCCAAAATGTCAGTTTTCCTGTGTGTTTAATTCTTTTGGTCTTTTTCATGATATAGCCTCAATGTATACCTGTCCTGCTGCTTAGGAAGAAGAACTATTACTCAAACAGATGTCCTACTTTACTGATGGTAAACATTTTGGAAGGCAGTTGAAAGACACGTTTGCTGATTCCCTCCGATACGTAAATAAGCTTTTAAACAGCAAATTTGGATTTACATCTCGGAAAGTCCCTGCTCATATGCCTCACATGATTGACCGCACTGTTATGCAAGAGCTACAGGATATGTGAGTATGCCTTTGTTTGGAAGAATGTAAAACTGTAGGTGATGTAATTCCATCTTTCTGTTACTGCTTTGTTATAGCTATTCAGTGTGTTGATGGGTACTCATTTAAATTATGTTTTGAAAAGGGAAATGAAGAATTTCTCACAGCATGATAGTTTTCATTCATGAAACGTGATAAAATTCACTCTAATGTAAGGAAATTTAACAAACCAAAATACTAAACTAAGGATTTTTTTTTGTCTCTGTAGGTTTCCTGATGAATTTGACAAAACATCGCTTCATAAAGTGCGACATTCAGAGGATATGCAGTTTGCTTTTTCATATTTCTACTATCTTATGAGTGCAGTCCAGCCACTAAATATTTCCCAGATCTTTGATGAGGTTGATACAGACCAGTCAGGCATATTGTCTGACAGAGAGATTCGCACATTGGCCACAAGAATCCATGAACTACCATTAAGTTTGCAGGTACTCTTTCTTTAGCAGTGATTTTTAGGGTTATTTCAGTTGTAAAATCTGAAATAGATGTCGTAAAAGGAATCACATCCTTATTCTTCCCTGCTTTGGCATCTGCCTATTCTTAAACTTAAGAATATGAAATTAACATGTTGTATTTTTTTGCTTATTGTACTGAGTCAACAATTAAGTGTTTTAGCATCATCAGAAGAACAGGTTGTTGGCTTCAGAGTTCAAGAAAGAGGCTCGCTTTTACTAGAAAAGATCTTTACTGTAACATAAACAGTAGAAAAAGCCTCTAACAAGAGCGTGGGTGCATAGTAGAAACAGTCCTTGTCATGAGGAACTTGTAGTCTAGGTAAAGAAGTGAGACGAAGGGTAGAAAGAAAGTTAACATTCTAGTAAATACTATGCAGTATAGTAAATACTATCCAAAGATGCAGTCATAGTATTTATGTTTTTTCTGGGAACTTGATGAGCAAAAAGATGGCTGTTGTAGGACTTAGACTCTTGAAGAGACAGTAGAGTTTGTGCTATTTCTATTTTACAGAGAAGAAGGAGGGCACAAGTCAATAGAAAAATTCTTGTTGCGCAAAGTCAGTGCTTTAGCAGCATATTCCTGGCTTGTGTCTTAATCAGAAAATCAGTCTTTCTTTTGTTTCTGGTACTCACTTTCTGTTATAAAATTTAAAATTCTATTTCTGGTTTTCAAATTCTTTACTGACTTGGCATCATCAGTAAAGCTGTGTTCACTTTTTAAATAAAAATGTCATTTCCTCTACTTAAGTCATGTAAGTAGAGGAGTCATTTAGCCAAAATTCAACTATGCACTGAGGATTTGCTTTGCATAAAGTATATGCTGAGGTCCATGAATTCAGCATTTGTTGTATTATTGTCTGCTGAACTAAGACTGCTTTTCATACAATAATGTGGGAATTCCTTATGTAGATAATGTTTAAATTATATCTGAGCACCTTGAATTCAGGAAGAAATTTATGAAATACTGGAACTATGTCAGTGAGAAAACAAGTTTACTTTTTTTTCTTTTTACTCTTCTGATAGGATTTGACAGGTCTAGAACAAATGCTAATAAATTGCTCTAAAGCTCTCCCTGCCAACATCACGAGGATTGACGTCATTCCACCAACTCAGGAAGCGTATTATGATCCCAATCTGGTAAGAAACACTGTCCTAAAAGATGTTAGACTTCTTTGCTGAGTGTATATTTACACTTGAAAGTTATGATTTCTAGAAGAAAAATACAAAAAATTCTTCCTGTGAGCACATGAAATAATTCTGTTTTAAATATGAAACTTCTGTAAGTTCCTTCCTATTTTTTAAAGTCAATAAAATTTTCTTCAAAGCAGGAAAATGCTGAGCTACTGTTTATCATTATATATAGGATTTAAGCAGTTAACCTTTTTAAGAAAACTAATTCACTGTTGTGAATCAAAATGACAGTGTGCACCAAGAGGCTCTTGCCTGATATCTTTCTGACTAGAACTTTTTGAAAAGGCTTTGCCTGAAATTTATCCCGTGTATTTTAAGCAAACAGAACTAGGGGAGTTAGTTCCTGAGCTAACCTTTGTAACCTGAAGTCTTCTCAGTAACTCCTCCTGAATTCCAAAGATTTAAGTCTTAGCGTTAGATATTCCAAAAGGATTTTAGGTCTATTTTGGTGATTAATTCTCATTGAAATTAGTGGGAGTTTAGGCCATCTGGAATCTTCAGATCTGAAACTAATAACTGAAATATCTTTACAATATGACTTGAATTTCTGAAACAATATATGCATCTTTTTTAAATATTTTAAATACTCTAACGAATTGATCCACCTGATGTTCTAGTTCCACAGAATACAGGTCATGTAGAATATCACTAATGTTATCAGTAATGCCTGATACACTAACATAATTCTTTTTGTCAGTTTAAATAGTGACTCAATAATGTTTTTGTTTCATACAGAAGCCCAATTTGCTTCTGTTGTCTGCAACAGCTAAATTTCTAGCAATGAGTTTGGTACTGTGGAAGTATCCCATGAGAATGGGCATTTGATTTCCCAGAATTGTTTTAGCACAGCTCATGACTGAAATAATAAGGCTAGTATCTATCAGCTGTTCTGCAGAGCTTGCCTGGGCAGGGTTACTGGTTAGCGTTGAGTGGCCTCCATCAGAGGAATGGCAGACAGCTGTCAAACCAGCTACAACTTGTGATTATTGCACTGAGGATAAAATGTGAAGTTGCAATATTCCTGCCAAAAAAATCCACATTTTTATATATTATATATGAGATAGCTGATGTTATACAGCAGTATTTTTTATTCTAAATAAATAATACTGTTTTTCATTCCAGTGTTTGCCATTCTTTGTTTCCTATAAAGTTCATCTTTAAAGCAGACTCTATAATCTTTTGAGTAAAATATAACATAAGAAATGTTTTCTTCCAGCCTCCTGTGACTAAAAACCTAGTTACTAATTGCAAACCTGTGATTCAAAGAATCCGCAAGGCGTACAAGGACAAAAACAAGTATAGGTACGTTATGATACTCCTGTGAAAAGTAATGTTAGCTTTTGTAAAGCAGCAAGAAAACGCATACACTGTGTCCACTTGAAGTTTGGACAACTGGGGGTTGCTCAAAGAGTTATGTTTTAGTGGGTGGGTCTGGGGGTTTTCGCAGACCCGTAATCTCAGAAATTTGCATCTAGTTGCATGTGGCCGTTTGCTGGCACAGAGCTTAGAGCCTTGTCCAGTCTCCATTGCCTCACTAGCAATGTGACCAGTGTCACAAGTAGCTACACTGTCCAGTAAGACTGTAGAGTGAAGGAAGGGGTCAGATGCCACTTAAGGCAGCATTTGGATGTTATTATATATTCACTCACAATACCTCAAGTTGTGCTTTATGATTTGCAAGTAGTTCCCTTCGAAGGAGATTTTATACTAGCACTTAAATGCTGACACAAGAAATGAGATTGACAAATACTAGAGGGCGGGGAGGACGTTACTTGATGTGCTTAATAACGTATACACTGCTGTAAGTCAGTTTAAGATATATATTATTCTGTTGATCTCTAATATTAAGTAACTGCTTTAGCTTTGTGAGCTTTGTCAAAGCAATACATTCTTAGATGAGGCTTCAAGGAGCATCTTTCTTTGATCAAGATGGGAAAGGTATTGTAGGCATATGCGTAACACCCTGCAAGCAGGTCATAATCTCTCAAAGCCTTTAAGCTGAAGATATCCTTCAGAGAGTGTATCATACTTCTGCATTTCAAATACTTGTTTTGTCTGTAAGTTATTAAGTTGTAAGGAAGGTTTGTACTGGGAATTTAGATTGTAGTTTTGTATTTAATGTTAACTCTTTTAAGGTGTTCCTGCGTTGGTGACCGAAAAGTAAAAACACATCTCATCTGAAATGTAATTTTGAATTACAGCTTTAAACAGCAGCAACTGTAAATACTGTAATAGGGATATGTCTACTTTGTAGCTCTTGTGCTGAAACTCTTAATTTATGTGTGTATCAGAATTCAGTTCTTCACTTTATACACACTAATACACAAGGCTCTCTGGGAGACCATTAGCTGAAAAAAGTAAATATAGTGATAGAAATCCAGTGACAAACGAAAATGAAAATTGGACAGGCAGATGCCTAAAGAAGGAGGAAAATTAAACATTTACTGAATTTCATCTAGGTTGTGATATTAATGTATAAACATTATTTTAACAAAAAATATTTGAAATAAGGTTTGAAATCATGGGAGAAGAAGAAATTGCCTTCAAAATGATCCGCACGAATGTTTCTCATGTAGTTGGTCAACTAGATGACATACGAAAAAATCCCAGGTACGCTATTGCTTGATTTTTATGAAGTCTTGATGTTGCTTTAAATTTTTGTTTGAACAGTTTCAAATATTTGTGTGCTGAGGCAAAAAATAATTTGTTGCAGTGTATCATTTGCTGCATATTGTAGTGCAAGACCATTTTAACCAAAAATTTTATTATCTTTTTTTCTCTTTAATTGAGGTGACTGCTAACCCCAGGAGTTAATTAATTTGTTACTTTCTTTATATCTTTCAAACCTTTGAAAGCTTACAGAAAAATTTCAGCTATTGTTAAGCTTTTCATTTCTGGCATTCCAGTTGGCATACATTTTATATTGGAGATAATCTTTACAAGAAAGAACATTTTGATGTATTTATAAAATTTGAAATAGAACTTGAAGGTGGATTATTTTGTTACAAAATCAGTTTTTACATGCATTATCCTTTCATTCTCTGTTACATCCTGGAAAAAGAAAATTAAAAAAAAAAACAACAGTAATCTTTTGTGTGTGCAAGAGAGAGAGGGAGAGAGATCCCTTTGCTTTGATTTTCAACGTGGAATAACCTTGTAGCCTGTAAATTATTTTTCCTCTTTCAGAAGGAGTTCCCAATCCAAGGGACCAGGTCAGGGCAGCTAGTCCAGGGTAAACTCCCCGAATGAGTGTAGCCTCCAGTCCTCTGGCTCTGCTGCTTTGCAGTGCATGATATTACTTGATAGTGTATGCATAATCTGCTGGGTTTTGAGGAAGAAAAGGTGTGTTTTGTTTTTCTCACATGTGGCGATTCAAAAGCTTTTGTCCCCTGCACATAAATGCTTCAGGCATGATGTTCCGATGATGCCAGATTCTCTTCAGACTGACAGCAAAGTGTAAAGCCCTGGGTAGAGAGATTCACGTCTGTCTCTCTTCTAGAGAGTTCTCCCTATTTCTCTCTTCATGTAGGAAATCTGAACTTCTTGCTGCTCTTTGCACAATGTATAATTCAAAGTACAGCAGCTGGCCAGAACCCATTTTTTTAAAAAAGGTTAACAATTCCAAGGTATATTTAACCAGCTATGATTTCCCCTGGGGGAAGAGTAAGGCTCTTGTATCTTGCACTATAAATAAAGCACATACCTTCCCTGTGTGTAAGAAAGGGCATTTTTGCTGCCAGCCCAGAGTGGCCAAGGGTGCATAGCTGTTTAGTACACTAGCTGCTGCTTTAGTTGCAGCTACTTTTGGTGCCTTTCAATGCCTGCTTGTATTCACTGAAAAATAACTCCTTGCAGGAGGCACTGGGACACTGTTTATGTGGTCACAGCGATTTCCATATAAATTATATCCATATTATTATAGCGGCTTATCTCTGTGTGATTCAAGTCATGTTCACATAAGTCAGGGCAAGAGTCTGGCTCGGGACCGAGTTTTCCCTCATATGGTTTTCAGTAGTTTTTGAGTTTCTCTGAAGGCTGCAGAATAAATGATAAAATATTAATAATTGCCTGTGTCTCTCTGCTGCAGTGGAACTTGTTTTGTTACTTAAGATACCTCACTCATGTTAACTCATTTAAAACTTTAACACAAAATCCCACCTTGCACAAATAGTAACACTGGTGGTGGTGAGGCTGGGATGAGGGGTATGGGCGGTCAGTAGATGGCAGCACAGTACACAACTAGGAAGGACACGAGTGTGGTTTGACCTTAGATACCAGAGGTTTTGACTTATCTTAAAATAATACACCTATAAGAAAACCTGTTACCTTTATCAAGCATATTAATCTATTTAAAATGATACCATTTAGGGTGGTGATCAGTGGGGCAGAGTCTAGTTGGAGGCCTGTAGCTAGTGGTGTCCCCCAGGGGTCAGTCCTTGGTCCACTCCTGTTCAATTTATTCATCAATGACCTGGATGAAGGCACAGAGTGCTCCCTCAGCAAGGTTGCTGATGATACCAAACTGGGAGGAGTAGCTGATACCCCAGAGGGCTGCGCTGCCATCCAGAGGGACCTGGACAGACTGGACAACTGGGCGGTGAAAAACCTCATGCAATTCAACAAGGCCAAGTGCAAGATTCTGCACCTGGGATGGGATCCTGGGGTGCATTAAGAAGAGTGTCTCCAGCAGGTCGAGGGAGGTGATCCTGCCCCTCTACTCAGCCCTGGTGAGGCCACATCTGGAGTATTGTGTCCAGTTCTGGGCTCCACAGTACAAGAGGGATGTGGAGCTGCTGGAGATAGTCCAGCGCAGGGCTACGAGGATGATCAGGGCCTGGAACATCTGCCCTGTGAGGATAGGCTGAGGGAGCTGGGCCTGTTCAGCCTGGAGAAGAGAAGGCTGAGAGGGGATGTAATCAGTGTCTACAAGTACCTCAAGGGGAGGCAGTGAGGAGGATGGTGCTGGTCTCTCTTCACTGGTGGCCACCAACAGAACTAGAGGGAACGGCCAGAAACTGAAGCATCCAAAGGAACTTAAGGAAAAATTTCTTAACAGTGAGGGTGACAGAGCGCTGGAACAGGCTGCCCAGAGAGGTTGTGGAGTCTCCTCTGGAGATCTTCAAAACCCGCTTGGATGCAGTCCTGTGCCACGTGCTCTAGGTGACCCTGCGTGTGCAGGAGGGTTGGACTAGATGACCTCTAGAGGTTCTTTACAACCTTAACCATTCTGTGATTCTATGATTTGGGTTTCTTGTTGTTATTGTTCGTTTTTTGCCAATAGCCTTGCCATACTTTTAAAGGAAATATTCTAACAAAGACTTACTATTTTCCAGAAAATTTGTTTGCCTGAATGACAATATTGATCACAATCATAAGGATGCTCAGACAGTGAAAGCAGTGCTTAGGGATTTTTATGAATCAATGTTTCCCATACCTTCCCAATTTGAGCTTCCAAGAGAGTATCGGAATCGTTTTCTTCATATGCATGAGCTCCAAGAATGGTATGTTATGCAAATTCTCTTCAAATTTCTTCAAGTTATGGATAAATATAGACTACACTGATACAAGTCCCATTTCTCCCAGTGTTGTCATGGAGTTGGAGGTGAATACAACTTAAAAAAAGATTTGAATCGGCTAAATGTTGAGGTTTGCAAGGTCTGTTTTTTTTCTGTTCCTCTTAAATTCATTCAGTTTTCATTGATTGGCCCCGACCTATTTCAAAAAAAAAGTTTTGAGTAAATTCAATCCTTCCTGTCTTTAAATCAGATGGACAATTAACATGGAAAATGCTTTTTCATCTTTAGCATGTGAAATTGGCGTACATTTACCTTGTGATTGATAAGCATACTATAAATAATATTTTAATTTCAGAAATTGGGGAAGGTAATTTTGAGAACACAAGCGAAAGGCTTGCGCGTATAGTGGTAAAAATGAGATAAGAATGTAGAAGGGTAATTTTATTGCGGACCAGCAGATTATGGGAACCAACTGCTAGTAAAGAAAGGGAAAATATTAGGGGAAGCTTAGAACAAAATATTGTAGGTGACAGGAATGGCCATGGGCTATAGTGGTACAAACCATATTGTAGGCAGGAAGAATGGGGGGGTAAATCCACTGCTCTTCAGCAGTTAGCTGTATTAACCTCCTGTGCTAGAGGAGGAGGCAGCTGGGTATCATTGTCTCCCTTCCGAAGACATCTGCCAAGAATTTGTTCTGTGTTAACTTCAAAAGAACACTCTGCAGTCAAAGAAGGTTTCTATTGGGATAGACTGCAGCATGTTGAAATGTTAGTGGAAATTCATTTTTAGCTTCAGTTGAGTTTTTCACTCTTATTTTTGCACAGTGTTAAGCTTTGGAAAATAAATAGGTAAACTATTTAAATGTGTTTTCTTCATTCTCTTTCATGGAAACTCTTTAGTTTAAAGTTTATGCCTTTGTGTATGTATAATGAATGAAAATGTCTTTCTCTTTCTCTATGTAGGAGAGCATACAGAGACAAGCTCAAATTCTGGACCCATTGTGTTCTAGTAACACTTATTGTATTTACAGTCATCTCATTTTTTGCTGAGCAGGTAAAAATATATCATCTTACCAAATTTATAACATATAATTTCTTGCTGTATCTTTAGGATCACATAAGTGGAGTGTATTTTGAACAGATCTTGAAGAATAACCTCTGTTTTCACAAAAGAAAGAATAATGAGATAGGGCTACTGCTTAGGTTGCTTTGATTTTTAAGTTACCAAGTTACATTGGTAAAAGTGTAAAGTAAGTTAACAGGAAGAAAATTCAAGTAATGCTGATATTCTAGGCTGGCTGAGAAATATCTTAAAAGATATTTAGGAACCGGATCTAAATTTCGTACAAAGTAACCACAGGGACTGCTGTTGAATTTGATAGATTTTGGGCTCAAAGAAAATGACTCCAATTTTGCAGAGATAAAATGGCTTTTTTGAACATGATTACTCCTGCTAAGCTTAGAGGCAGTCAATGGAACAAATCATATGGGTAATTCTTTGCAGGTTGGGGCCTTAAGTAACTCTTTCCGTGGTCTGATGAAGAGGGTGTAATTCTTGAAAGGTTGGCTGTTAAAATTTTTGTTTTGTTTTGTTTCACCCTATAACTTGTGCATGAATCTTGTCCTTGATTTTTAGCTTCTGTATATATTGAAAACCTCTGCATTACTAACTTGGTTCAGAAAGGGGATAGTCAGCAATTCAGTAGGACTGTGTTTTAAGATGCCAGCTTTGCCTTTATCTTTTAGTAACTGAACATGACCTGATATATTATATACCGAATTTTAAATAATCAAATATAGGCATACTGCGTTCTTCAATTTCTGCGCTTATTCTATTACTGACAAGTTGAGTGGAAATGTATATGCCTAACTGATGAATTTAAGTAATAGTTTTTTCTTCCTGTGCAGTGGACAGGAAAAAAAAAATGCAGTATTGATTTAATTACCATACACAGTCCAGATTTTATAGAATTTCTAGGAGCAAAACCAGAACACTTGTGCACTTCTGGCCTAGCAAAGAACTAATTTTTTCTTCTTCTCAGTTAATTGCACTTAAACGAAAGATATTTCCAAGAAGAAGGATCCAAAAGGAAGCTGGTCATGAACGAATCAAAGTGTAGAAGAGCTTTATTTTGAAGATCAGTCTACCTCAAGATGTGATAAGCATTTAAAATCTCCTTCATAAGTGTCTTTATGACACTTTATGTCACTTATGACACTTACAGTCTGACGTTTAATGAAGTTAATATGAAGGAAAAAAAATCATGTATCTACAGTTGTTTTATCTGCAGTCCTCTTTGACATACAAGCTGCTGGAGCTGTGACAGAAATCAAAACAAAAGGAAAAAAAAAGAGAAAACCTGTACATCACTGGTTTTCAACTGATCTTACTTGACAGACATTAATTCATGGGCATGTTATCCTTTTTTATAAAAAGAGTTACCAAAAGAAATGTAGCTGCATTTATTGCAGTGGGTGTTGCCAACTAGATATAAAAATGTTGGAAGGCAGAGTTGTTTAGGATCAGCTAACAGGTCCTTGATCTTGCATTCCAAAATACTTTGCAAATTCTGTTGTTGCTGCTTTTTTTTTTCCAGCCCTATGGGAAAATAAAAAGAGAATTATGTAACTTGTAATTTAGATTTAAAATGATGTTGACATTCTTCTAAGCACAGTGACAATTCATCCTCCTGTTGGTAGTATTTAAATGGAATTTGGGAGAAACATATCCTAATTAAAAAATACATAGTAACAGGACAATTAATGGTTGTTTTAAAAATAATTGATATATTCCAAAGAATACAATGATGTTATCTCTTGACTTGATTACAGAGGGAGAATTGGAATCAAATGATTGATGAAGGTGTAGTATTTTACAAGCATCGTAAAATAAAAACAAACAAACAAACAAAAGTGCCTCTCCGTATGAATGGGTAACATAACATTTTAATGTAGCAATGTACGGGAGCAATGTTTCTCTTAAGAAGACTATATTTATATTCACATACTGAACTCTGGTGTTTTTAAATTTTGTTGAAAAATCATAACAGTAAGTTTTTATGTGGGAAAAGTTACTGAATGTTTTCAAGCAGAAATGTTTGGTGGTGTATGTTCAGTTCATTGTATTAGCAGTATTCAAAAATGCATTAATTTTTATAATCAGAAGATGTACAAAATGTATGTGCATATGTATTGTAAGATACTTGGTTTGCTTTGAAATTTTTGAAATTAACTAAAATGTGAAAAAAGCTTTCGTCTGTTTCTGTCTTAAAGAAAAAAAAATACTTAGCCATTAATATTTGTAATTCCTTATGTAAAAAGTATTTATTTTTCCTTAAAAATCTTTCAAAGGTAATAATTAATGCACGAAGGGTTTAAAAATGCAAACAGTTGTATTTTTTTAAGAATGAGATGATATTTCATGCTAAGCTTTATGTATTATACTGAAACATGTAGGATATAAAAGTACTTCAACTTTACAGTGCTTCACCAGGAAGTGAGATATTTCAACAAATACATGAGCAGGTAGAGGCAAGTTTGACTGGAATTATTTTTTAAAGTTCTATTTTGCACTGTAGCTAACAAGAAAAAAATGGGTTGTCAGTTTTTGTGCTTAAATTACATGTCCAAATGCATGCACATGTAGCTCAGATGTCACTGCAATTCCTTTTTATGTTTAAGCGGTGTTTGGGGTTTGATTTGGATTTAAGCAAGTTGATTCATAGCAGTTAGTTTAGCTACAGCAGTAACAGCCAAAAGATGTAGCATAAATTTGCACGTAAAATATCTCAATTTGTTGAGGTTAATGCGAACATTGAAAATTAAAATGTTGATAGGAAGATGTTTATTTATATTTTGTATTTGGACATGATGTATATGACAAATCACTAGTGAGAAAAGCCTGTGAACAGTAGAAAATCCCAGAATGTAACAATCCCCACAAACAATTGCAGTTTTTGCAGACCTCAAATCCTTGTGTATCTGGGATTTTTTTTATACACTGAACTATTAAAATGGTGTCCGTAAAAACAGCAAAAAACATGAGCCTAGCATGACTTAAAACAGCCTGCTACTGCTGTTCTGTTTTACTGGTAATTGCTAGAACATGGCAGTTTTCTTTCTTCCTTTCCTCTTCCCTTCGTTTTCCCTTTCTTTCCTTCTTTCTTTCTTTAAAGTGATCACTCTTTGAAACTAACAGCTTTTAAGCGGGGGATGCACTGTTGAAACTTACTTGTGTTTGAAGTTTTGCTTCATCCCAAAAGCATCACTCTGCTTTGACTAGAGAAGCTTTACCTGTTGCATTAATGGAGAAAATCATTTTTTGGTGTCATAATACTGTGAAAACATATCTAAAGCAGAAGCACAGGCGCAGTGCGCTGTACCAATTTATTTTGTAGGCTTTTTGTTGCACCCTGAAGCAGTTTATAGCAAAAACAGGTGAGTCTTTAAACGCGGGAGGAGTTCAGCAGTGCAAGGCCCCGCGCCGAGGTGATTCCCCCCGCCGCCATGGAGGGCCCGGCCCTTTCCCGCCCTTTCCGCGGCGCGGCCGCTGCCCTCCCCGCGCTGCCAGGGCCTGCGGGAGTCGCTCTCCCGCCCTCCCTCTCCGCCGTCGTGGGCGCCTGAGGGACAGGGAGGAGAAGGAAGAGGAGGAGGAAGAAGAGGAGGGCAAGGCGGGGGTAACGGACGCGCCGCGCGGGAGGGCGGGCGCTGCCTCCGCCCCGCGGCGTTTGAAACGCTGGTGCCGCCGCGCTGAGGTAAAAACGGGGCGAGAGAGGCGCCTTCGTACCGGGCACCGTCGCGGGCGGGGAGAAACGGGGAGGAAGGTTCCTCTGGGGGAAATATACACAGTGCGAGGGGTTTCGATCCTCCGGTCAGTGATCTGAAGCGAAGCTTTAGTCTTTTCAAATTTTTACCTAAGTTTTTAAAATATTTGCTTCAAGCTATACGGAAAAGCATCAGGGGAGGAGGGAAAAGCAGTTTTCTTTAGCAGCATGGTGGGACAAATAGATAAAAATAAAATGTAATTAATTCAGAAAAGCAACATAAAGTTTTCTAAAAACTGCTTTCATGGGGATGTTTCTGCCTAGCTAGCAAGGAACAGAGGGTAGAATGTGATTCTTTGTGGTTTATCATTCCCGTGCTTTGTAAAATCGAATATAAACCTAGTCTTATGAGAAAGTGCTACAGAATAGGACAAAATATTTAATACATGGTTTGGAAGCAGAGCTGGCAGGTACTTTAAAAGGTTGTATAATATGCTTTCTTGCTTTCCTGCAGAAGCAGGTGTGTTTCCCCCTAGTCCTGATACTTTTAACCTGTTCTTCAAAACATCACTGGTGGTTAATCCTGTGGATTATGTCACCAATTAACCAGCTCCACTCCTTTGGTATCCTTATGGATGCAGACTGCTACAGGGATCACTATAAGCATCAATGCATGTTTTTCTTTGAAGTACTGTGGGAGAAGTTGTGTAACAAATACAGTATATTGTTTCAGTAGGAAGAAAATCTTGCTATGGCACCATCAGGAAGAAAGCATCAAGGAAAAGCTGGTAAAGCAGCACAGGAAGATCAAGCCATACCTGCCTATGACTTTCAAGACGAAAGAAAAGATCTGAGTGGATCTGAGGAAGATATTAGAGAAGGTGTTTATACCAACTAGATTTTCTTTTCTTTTTTCTTTTTTTTTTTTTTTGGAAGATACTAAGTTTATAATATTCCTGACTATGAATAGAAATGAGGATAATTCTGCACCTGATAAAACACATTTTTTCATAATATTTCTGTCAGCCTCCTACTATGGTTGTGATTGATGAGAAGAAAACTCTTAAAACTTGCAGGTGGTGTTTTAGAATAAGATTGTATGTTTTTGTTATTTTAAAATTTATATTAAGGTGAAACACCAGTGGTGGACAAACATGGGAAGAAAAGACCTTTGGTGACTCCTCATGTGGTTTCAGATGATGTGGGGTAAGGTTTAGAATATCATTTTTTTCAAAATGAACACGAAGTCTTAAATAGATATTAATTTTAGCTATTCAGTATGCTTGTTTTCCTCTCCTAACATCTCATTCAATTCAAGCAAAAAAATAGGATAACATAATACATTTGCTGTAGTTGAGAAAGAAAAGCCAACCTTTCAATTCTGCCAACAAATCAATTCTGCTGCTTCTTTGTAGACACTTTTGAACACCCTTGGAAAAAACAGGAATTTGCAAGAATTTTCCATATTCAGTTTCTTTCAAAAGATGATTTAAGTTTTATCCTATATTGTTATTTCACTGATTTTAGTAATTTGATGTTATTAAAAAAGTATTTTAAATGACCCAAAAGGAACGTTACTTGAAAAGTAAACAGTGTAAAAAAATTGTGAAAAAATATAAAGTTTTTTTTTTAAGACAAGATTAAGGATCGTTACATTGAAGATATTTTTTTTTTCTAGTTTATGAAAAATAAAGCAATAGACTGTGGAAAAAATAAGACACATAAACAAGATAAATATTTTTACTTTATCTATAGTTGCTCTCTCTTTAATTGGCAGTTACTATACCACTGCTTTATGCAGCAGTATACTCACCTAAAACTGCTATGGAAACAACCCTAGTATTTTTTTTACTTGGATTTTTCTTATTGTGTCAGTCATGCTAAGCTTGCTAGACTTCTTTGCATTTGATCTTCCAATTATATTTTGTGCTTTTGTTTCTGTATGTCAAATGAGCCTTCATATTTACTATCCTTCCTCACTCAGGATTATCCATAGCCTTAATAGGTTTTTCATAGGGAGTAAGTTAATATACTCCTGTAATTTTTTTTTTTTTAAACCCATACAAATAAGTCTAAAAAGTGAACTCTTGCAGCAGGGGGAAAGGAGTAAAAATGTTTTTTTTTTTTTTTTAATCTTGTATAACAGCAGCAGTGCTATCATTGCTTGTAGGTAATAGGCATGTAAAAAAAAGCAGACACAGTTTTAAAGAATTTTTTTATAGATAAACATCGAGTCTTATTCTCAAGTAATTTGTGCAGAGAACAGACAAATAATTTTTTTAAATAATATTTTGTAGGGGTGAAGTACAGAATATGTTGGAACGATTTGGAGGTAAGTATATGTAAATTGTAATAAATGAAAACATAACTCATGATTAATTTGCAGAGTTGGAAGTAATCCTTTTTCACAAAAATAAGCTTTCAAGATTTAAATAAAATGACCAGTCATTGTATTATTGGCTACAGCCATGTCCCAGGTTAAAAAACAAACAATAATATATCTAAATAGAGCAGAAGAAAAGTAGATGACTTACAAATGGAGAAAGATGCGTTAGCGCTTTTCATTATCAATCCTATTTGACATTTTACATCTGTGTGTTTATGTATAAAGATTCTTAAGACATGGTTTAAGAGGCAGTGAGTATAATTAAGAGTACAGTATGAGCTAGCGGTTCTCAACTTTTTGTTACAATGAGTTAGGTGGAAGAGACTGCGGACTGCAAGAGTGTAGTGAGAAAGTATAGGCATGTGAACGCGAAGTGGCCAAGTAGAACAAATACTTCAAAATCTTAGACAAAGAATGGCTGTAGGTTGTGGAACATAGTTATGATACAGCATGGGTTAGTTATCTTTACCTTCAGAAAAGTAGAGAAAATGGACTGAGAACAGAAGGGAATTTCAGTAGTGAGGAAGAATACTACAAGTTTTCTAGTAGAGAATGAGGTTAAATAATGGTGGTCACTTGGTCAGGATTGTAGAGAGATTTGACCATGTATTTGTGTGCATTCCTGTAATTTAGCCTTCATTAAGTGTAATCCTCAGGCAGCCTTACTTCAAGTATACAGTTGAATTCTAGAGAGCTGACAGCTCAGAAAAAACACAAGACGGCACATTTCACTGGCAAAGGATTTATAGTGCACATCTGGAGATAAGGTAACAAGTAAAAAGCAGTAGAGGAAAATGTCTGAGTGTTACCTCCTTAGTAGCTTGTTGATAATTTTGTTGCATGTGTGAGTAAATATCATTCCCAGGCATTGTTTGCCTGTAGATCTGAAGGTGAAAGAGGAGCTTGAAAGGAATTCCTTAATCGGAATTCCTTAATCTGAATTGAGACTTTGGTGTGAAGGCAAATATTAGAATGATGTTATAGATGTAGCAGTCTAGATAGGAGGATTTCAGTGTTGAATAATAAGCTAAAATTGCTTTTTACTGAAGACTTGAAGATGAGAAGAAAAACTAATTAGGTGGAGAAAGGATGCTGCCTGCTCAAAAATAATGTTGGCATTAGCAGTGGCAGATGCCTGAACAAATTAATCAGTTTTGGCAGATGTTTCTTGATACCTACAGCAAAAAGGGAAAGAATTGCTTTATGTATTAAACCTGAGCTAAGTTATTAAATTTCCAAATGTAAATTGAGATAGCCTTTAACTGATGTTAATTTGAATACTTTTAGAAAAATACTCAGGCTCTCTGGAGTATGAGAGTTTGTAATTCATTCATTCATTCAATATATTGACAGTGATAGTGATCACATAATTCCTTTATTTCTGAAATCTTAAGTAATTTGAATGAGTATTTCTCCAAAACACTTGGGCTAATGCTTTTTTCTTAATAAGGAGAAAAGAAAAGTATTGGCATAACTAAATTACATGAAAAACTGGAAATTATGAGCTGGTAGTGCAGTCATGCAGCTAAATTCAGGAGGATATTGATGGTGTAACTAAAATATTGTTGGACTCTAGAAAAAAAAAAGGAGAAAAAGGAGCAGGATGCCTTTCTGCTCAGGATATCTCTAGCCTTGAATAAAAGAGAAATTAAATACTGTGAAATCCCTATGTACCATGTTTAAGGAATATTGCACTATGTGCTATTGGTGTGGGGCATAAACAGATCGGATAATGCTGCTGATGTTTTAAGCATGCTTGTGTGCTGACCGTAGAGATGAAGCTCATGGATCACCTTAATGAGTCGGAGAGCACAAGACTCAGCATATAAGGAATTAAATAAAATATATGTATGTATAATGGAAGAATTGCAGCTAGCCTGGATTCAGACAGGACAGTTGTGCAAACACGATGTGCTACCCACAGCCATTGTGCCCAAAGCCAAAGAAGAGAACGCAAAGTCAAGTCACAGAAGGACTTGCCTTGGGGTTCAGTGGGACCAGGCAAGGAGCTCTGGCAGTGCCAGAAGCCAGGAGTCACATTAGGTCTCTGGAGACTCAGGAAAGCAGTGCCGAAACCAGTGCCTCTAAGAGCATGCAAAGAGAAACCCTTAAAGGAGCACCCAGGAGCGCAGAACACAGTAGCTCTTCTCCCTTGCAGTGTACCTCACACTCTTTTCCAAAGGGCATCAACATCTTTAATAAACCACATGTGTCTTGCTCTACATAACTTCTAAATGTTCTTTGTCTTAATCCAGCTGACATTAACAAGGCTCTCCTAGCTAAAAGGAAAAGATTAGAAATGTATACTAAAGCCTCACTCAAAACCAGTAACCAGAAAATTGAACATGTTTGGAAAACACAGCAAGAGCAAAGGTAACATCCATAGTTTTTAAACATGTGAAGTCAAATTTCCTTTTGTGTCAGGTATAAGATACTTTTATCTAAGACCATGTAAAAACTATATCCTACTTGTATGTCTATGTGTGTTCAGCTTTTCAAAACATACAGCATTCAGTTAGGGCCAGATATCAAAATATCATCTTGCATTACCTATGCCACCTCCTTTATTATGATACGAAAAAAAATATGTAGACTTTTAGTTTCTCTTCTCATTTTTCATTGTGTTTGTAATACTTACTGTTGTGTTTATAGGCAGAAGCTCAATCATGAGTATTCCCAGCAGTTCTTGACTTTATTTCAGCAATGGGATATAGATGTGCAGAAAGCAGAAGAACAGGAAGAAAAGCTAGCAGTGAGTTTGCAATGTAGTATGTATTTTATACCAGTAGAGAATAGTGCTGCTCAGACACCAAGAGTGCAGAAATGCATAAGTATTTTATGTAGTACAAACCTCTTCAAAAATTCACCCAGTTTGGTGACATGTCAGGTTTGGTGACTTCCAAACCATAAATATTTAGGTTTTGGAATATATGGCAAAGTGAAGAGGTGAAGACTGTAGTACTTTATTGTACTAAGCCAATATTTGTACTAATTGCACCATTATTAGCCCAGGCACACAGAAGCACTCTTGGAGCTAGCAAAGGAGAGGCAAACCCCAGTACAAGAAAAAAGCAGATAGATCTCAGCTGGGTGCCTATAACGCTGCTTCCTCTGCCTTTCCCCTTGTGGCTGTAGGATTCCCCAGCAGAGAGCTAGATTAGACCCAGACTTCCAGCCAAGGCAGAATTATGATTCTCACAAATGACATCGGTGTTGCTGTCCAGTTTTTTTGTCCAACTAGTACAATTTTTTGCTTCTCTTTCAGAATATGTTTCGTCAGCAGCAGAAACTTTTTCAACAGGCAAGAGTAGTGCAAAGTCAGAGACTGAAGACAATTAAGCAACTCTATGAGCAGTTCATAAAGGTATAGCACATTCTTCCTAGGAGGCAGATGATCTTTCCTCATATCAATTATTAAAGCTGAATTAATTCAGCCTGTAGAAATCCAGTTTGGGGAAAATAGCGGCCTTCCATGAATCTTCATATTGTGTTGTTAGTGTCATTCCCTGTTGTTCAGAACATGACTTGTTCTCTCCAGACCTGCATATACTTTGCCCCTACTTAAAAGACAGGGTTGAATGGGTTCTCACAGGGATCTGCTAGGCTCATCTCTTTCAAATATTTAACCTTAGCCCTCAGAGTATACTTTCTAAATAGAACTCAGTTGTGTGCCAATTTAAAGGTTATGCATTAGTCAAATAAATAAGATTCTGTCTTGTCTCTTATATTTTTGGTAAGAAAACTGACATTTAAAGAAGTGAGATTTCACCATCTATTAGAAAATTCCATTTTAAAGTGTAATTCTGTGCTTCTGATATGACTGCTACAGTAGCATACCCCATAATGAGAATCAGATACCAAAGCAAAGTCATCTTTCATTAATCTTTCTAGCTATTGCTCCTTCTTGCAGCAAGGGAAGTACCCCTTAAATGTATCACTTTTAAAGTCTATTAAGTCCCCCGGTTCCTAAGAAATACTGATTGGAAAACATTTTCCTTTCTATAACCTAAAAGTAAACATTCACCAAGAATACCATCAGAAAGTAAGAAATAACAATTTATGGTGAAAATAGGGCAACTGTCTAGCTGGGTGGCTATATAATCCATCCTGTTTTGGCTTTCCTGTTGCTTCATGCATAATTCCTGGTTTTGCTGGCAGTCTCTACAAACAGTTGGGGGTTTTTTTGGATGGTGCATACAGAACGTTACAGTTTAAGCATACGCTTCACAGTTAAGCATTGTCAGCCCACTAAATATGAGGTAGTTGATAACTTTAAAACACATATATTCTTCTTTCTAAGCTACCATTTCAGTAAATGACCATTTTCAGATTATAGGTGAAGGTGCTTAAGGGCTTCCGATGACATGTGAAAATTTTGTTTCCTCCTAACCAAGATACAACGTGGATTTAAAAACTAAAAGCCTAAGACCCACAACACTACTTGTAATTGAGTTGTTAGAAATTGAAACTCGATAAAAATGATTAGAGATGGGGTTTTTATAGGAAGTGCAGAGGCAGAAGAGGTTCAAGTCTTAGTTTCTATAAAAACTTTAATTTCTATTTGTTTCCCCCCTAGTTCCCTCCCCCCTTTTCTTTTTGTACGAAATTTCAGTTAGCTATGAATGAGGATTTTTTTTCCCCCTCAAGTCAGGCAGCTTTGAAAAGTAATTAGAAACAGAGCAATTCTTCATTCAAATAGCTGAAGTTTACTCAGCACATTAGAGATGTGAAAATAATCACAATAGTTTCATCAAAGATGCAAAATTAAAGTGAAGTTCAAGTATTGCTATGATTTCTCCTCAGAGGAAATCAAAATTTAGGAATCAAACTTCAAATAAGGTTTACTTTAAATATGTGTCAAGAAAAAGATGGCTAAGCATATAAAAACAAACTTAGGTATAACCTTATATATGAAAGAAAAGATAACCAGTGAGCTTTACCTTAGCTCATTCAAGTAGTACTGTGTAAAAGGAAGATTTCTCTTTTTTTTGTGGCCTCAAAATTTGTCATCAACTGTATTAAGTTGTGGATTAAATTGAGAGTTAAACTGTATCTCCATCATATCTGACAACTGTCTGTATTATCTTTTTTTTGAAAAACTTTTATCTTGATGGAAGTACAGGATACTAACTGAGACCTCACAGAGGCTGAGTGATGGAGATTTTCCTTCACAGCATTTATTGTTTAAATAGGAAAGGAGCCTGGACTATGGAGTCCTGTGCACTTTGTCTTTCAGCCACTTGACAAAATTTACTTGTGAATGACCAATACCGCTATAAAAATTGAATTGTAGTTTGAATAAAGGATAGTGGGGGCTTTTAAAAAAATTGTTTCTCCTCGATGTCTAAATGTTAAATGAAGTTTATCCATAACTTCAGAGCATGGAAGAGCTGGAAAAGAGCAACGAAAATCTTCTGGCTGGTGCACAAAGTGAGCTTCGCAAAGAAATGGCTATGTTGCAGAAGAAGATTATGATGGACACTGTAAGTATAAAATGTCAGCTAAATGCAAAAATAGAACATTCTATAAAAATGTCATTTGGTATTCATTTAATTAGCTCAGGGAATCAGGTTGGGTATGGCATTTGTTCAGTATTATCTCCTTTTCTTGTAACAGCAACAGCAGGAGATGGCAACTGTTCGCAAGTCTCTTCAGTCCATGTTATTCTGATGGCTCAATGGAGAAACCACTTTTACCTAAGTAACATGATACAAGTATAGGCATTAGCCATAGAGAAGTATGTTACGATGTCAACGTTGTAAAGTTCCTATTAAATGGTTTCATGGATTGTTCTAAGCTCATGTTTCATAATGCTGTAAGATAGAGTAGTGGTAAGTTGAAATTTTTTTTTTTTCAAACAAAAACAAAACAAGCAAGCAAAAAAAACCCACCAACCTCTAAACTATTTACTTTCTGCACAATTAATCTTTAACTACTTCATAATCACCTCCAAATTAGCATGAGACTGCTTCAATTGTTTCACTGCTTGTAATGCCAAATTGCAAACCACAGACACAATCTATGAAAAACACATTACACAGATTTTTGCACAATAATTTTAGGCTTTTTAGGTACATGGTGCAAATGGAAGTATTTTTCCAAAGCTACAGATATTTTATGATTTTCATAGTTTCAACACTTAGCCTGACCTGTCAGCAGTTATAAAAGCTCATTAAAATATGATACATCTTATGTGAGAGTGCTAAATAGTGTATATTATGGTAAATTAAGGAAAACTTTTAGGCTTTTGCTGTGCTATGCCTTGTAATAGTTTACTACCAGTAGGAGACTAGGAATTGCTTAAACTCATCAAGAAGACAAGATTCTTCAATTTAATTAGGAGTTGAGTGTCATGGCTTTATATTACATTTGTTTAAATAATAATAATTAAATACTACAACACATTTGGGGGTATTTAATCCTTGCAGATCTCTGTTGAAATAATCCAGCTCATATTTGGTGCAAGCTATTACAACCCTTAAGACAGACTAGTTATTTTTGCAGTTTCAAATGACTAGCAATTTAGAAAGGTCTAGGTTTTAAGAAGAAATGCTTTAGCCTTCACGTATTACATTACAGGAAGCTGATAACATTTAAACCACCACCTTAGTGTACACAGAATTGTTTCTATAGAAAGCCTGTATATACACTAGAATATTAGATGGTACCCAAAATATTTAATGCTTGGATTCCACCTCACTACAACCTCTCCCCACGTACCCTCCTCACCACAGACATGATGTTTTCTTAACAAAGTATTTCAAATCCAGTCCATCCAGCTTCTCTCCCCAATAACATACTAGCATTTATAGTTCAGAATCAAATCATCTGCTGAGAGTTCCCCGTTTAGAAAGACAGATTAATGACAGCTTACATGAAGAAAATCAACTATTAGGATGCAAAGGAAGTTGAGCAAGAAACCAGTATGGAGCTGTTAAGACTCGGGGAACGAACAAAAACTGAGAATGTATATTTCTAGAATAGTGTCTGAGAAAGCATGAACATGTAATGAGTAATCACATAACTACAATATTTTATAATTGTGATACTCTGTTTCTGCCTTTTAAGGATATTAGATGAGCTATGAGGGACAGTTAAGATTTCTGCCTTGTCTTTATTGTGATGATATTTTAGTATTTCCTAGTTGTTGTTTTTTTTTTTTTTTTTGACTGACTCTCCATTAGTTTCCTACTGTCTGGATACCTCAACTCTGTTTTTCAAGCTACTTCTACATACTACTCCATGACTCCCCTTTCTCCAGTATTCTGACACACCAAACCCCCTCACTTTAAGAAGATGCCTACATCTTGTCCTACTCTTTACTATTTTCTCTTCTCTTTGCTGTAGGCTAAGTCCACTTGCAGATGCTCCGTCTTCCTGATTTGAACAGGAGAGACTCACTGGGAAAGGAGAACTGAACTCCTTGTCTGTAATAATCAACTGCAAGGGTAGTCCTTGGGCAGTAACTGGTACAATTAGCCCTGCTGTATATGAACCTAGCCTTCTCATGCAGGAACAGGGCAGGCAGACAATTTCTATGAATGTTATTCCCCTCTCCCTGCCCCCAAATTTAGCAGAAAACACAACACAGTGGATGTTCCTTGAACATCTCGGGCAGTTTTTTTTTTTTTTTTCTTCAACTAACATGCAACAGCTATGCAGCTCAAATAGTTTTTCTTAAAAAAAAGAAAAAGTTATAGCATTCTTTATTGCACGGTTCAAGAAGGGTTTTATGAATTCACATCTTGGCTACAAACCAGCAAGTGGAAGCAATGAATACATACCTTCAACAGCTTTTTAGAGGATGCATGTTTAATATCCTTTTTTTAAAAGGATTTTAAGCTTTTAGGGCATATTTGTTTGCAATTCACCATTTGCTGGTACAAATAAACTACTTTAATAATAAGCTACTTGAATTCAGCTTTTCTCTAATGACAACAGAAACAAGTAGCAGAGAACCTTATAGTCCATAACAGTTCATAATCTAGGCACATTATGTTATCTGATTACTCTGTTCTTAAAGAAAGAGAGGGGGTGATACTGGTCCTCACTTTTATTCTTTTAGACAGTTTCTATACATCAGGTCTTCATTCCTTTCACTTTTGTTTGGATAAGGTACAGACGTAGTAGTTTAGCCTTATGATTTAACACAATGAGAGCAAACAGGCCTCAGAGGAAATTAAATATGGCTGGGTTGTATTGTCACAGTTAAACAGTCACAGTCATGTAAGTTTATCAATCAACTTAAGTCATACTCTTGAGCAGTTTCACACATACAAGTTAGGGTAGGTAAAGGTAACATCCTCAACTACTTACACTCTAGCTATTGGTGTTGTACAACAAGGCAAAAAAGTTAGTATGACTACAAAACCAGAAACTGTCCTGGAAAGAAAATGCAAGCTACGTTTGTATGTAGTAGCAGTAGCACATACTCTTTGAGAATGAATACTAAGGGCATTCAAAACAGTACTGGAAACAGAGGAATTTTCCTGATCTGCAGTTCCTGCATCCAGATATTTCTAAAATCATAAGGACCAACATCAACTATTAGTTTTACCTCAGAGATGCTTCCTTCTACCAGTCTTAATAATACAGTGTTGGATTTAGCAATACCTATGACTACCACTTCACAGCAGTTCTAAGACAACTCTTGAAACTAGTGTTAGGAAGGTATTAGTTACTTGGCCTGCAGAAAAGTGAAACTCCTCTTAGAACTTTGATTTGCAGCGCTTTGGGTTGTAGTCTACGTGCACCAGAACAGCAGTACAGAACTAAAGCTACCTATCAGGAGAAGGCAAGTTTTGAACGTGGTATTCATGATATTATGTAACAGCTTCAGTATTAGAACACAGGGGAAATACATCCTGGTTTGGAAGTATTAATCACAGAAGCTGCAGGACTCTGCATTTAGTAATTATCACACCTGGTAATAACCTAAGACAGCAAGCTCTCTCACAGACTGTTTTTTTGAAAAGCTTAATCTGTCTTCCCAAAAAGAGAGGCTGCTTCATTTAGCATTCCCCTAACTGCTTCTCCTCTTCTCCTTGATCTATTTAATCAGTCATTATGGTTTTGAACCTGTTCAGGAGCTTGATGAGATGAAATTCTGAAGACATGTATATGAAGATGAGCAGCAATCTGTAGGCATACACCAGTGGCATATCTCAGCATATCAAACAAGGATATGAACTTAAAAAGAACAAAATAGAACAAGTTAAAAGCAGAAGTACCTTTCAAAATATCGCCCCTACTATAAATTCAGCTCTATCCAACATGAAAGGTTTGATAGACAATTTAGGAATTTTATATAGACTGATCTCCTTTGCCTGGGAAAAACAAAGAAACCTCAAATCCCCTGCAAATTAGTATTAAACACATATGCAAAACTGAAGTCCAATAAGCAAAGTTTAATCTACATTTAGTAGAATAATTTTTAAACCACCCGAGTTAAAACATAATTATAAGAAAGATCTGTAAAATGTAAACTTTCACATCTCTGTTCCCAGGCAAGCAAGCCAGTCCGTCCCAAAAAGCCTAAGTTTACATGCTATCCTGGCAATCCTGGCAGTGGAACAGAATAATAGGGACAAATTCATTCCTATAAGTACATTACATATGAAAAGACAAATGTAAAACAAAATGCTTACCAATGCCATCCACAGAACAATATATTCATCAACAAAACTGTTGAAGTACTGGTCCAAAAACAGAAGCCCTGGCCCAATAAATGCAGTGTCTTGAAGAGAGATTTCACTTTTTGTCATGTGAGCCACCTATTAAAAACCAAACCACTACTTTATCTTAACTGTAACTACCAGCAAACTATCACTTTATTTAAAAAAAAAAAAAGGGGGAGGAGGGAGGGGAAGAAATGATATCCTTTCTCTCAATAGTCTGTTGCCCGGGGCCCTAGAGGACTAAGGGTATGACAAAAGCTTCAGAGTCCACTGCTCCCTGCCAGATTCTTGCTGAAGGGCTAAACGACTTCTCTTTCCATGCCATTCAAAATGCAACACTTCAATCAGCTGACACCAGCTATTTGAGTTGCCAAATGCTCAAAGTCTCTTAAAGGAATCTCAACTTCTCACAAGGACTTCATGTTTAAAAGCTGCTCTATTTACTGCTGCTATTTGCAGTCCAGAAGCATCAAGTGAAGAGCACCTCAACAAGTCTGCCACCACATCTCTTCTCCCTTCCCAATGCACATTCATTAATTAGTGGATCAGCTTCAGCTTTGCTACTGTTGGTGTTTTGGGACTTTTTAGATTGTTCAATTGTGCGTATTACACAAGAACATTCAAGAAGTTAATCCATCCCAGTGTATTTTAGCTATTTGGAAGAGCCTCCCCACCCTTGTTTTTCCCATGTTGTGTCTATGCCCATGTATTACTTGAGGTGAACACTATTCAGTATTCACAGATTGTATGGGGTTGTTATGAAATCGGTAACACAATGGCAGAGCAGCACGGGAGAACTTTCACAGCACCCGCTGATATAAACAAGCAAATCTTAAACATGAAGTAGTTCTTAGCTAAGAAGTTTAGAACCAAAACGAAATTGCTTACCACTAACTTTTGTGAGATTTTAGCATTCACAAATCCAAATGTCAAAACATACAGGCAAGGATGTTTTTCAAACAGCTGTGTTGTAGATTTTTTGTAGATCATAATAGCCAGTGTAATAAGTAGTCCAATATTCAGGCCTGGTGAAAGAACACTTGTTCCCTGAAATACAAAGGGACAACAGATTATTCTAAAGCTTGAATGACACCACACAGTCTAGATTTTACACTTACTGCCACTCTGACTCAATAAAAACAATTAGAATTGCTGAAAAGTCAGGGAAAGTTCTTTATTCTTATCAGCACTAGGCTGATACTATTCACATACTTTACAGTGACATCCAACTTCATAAAAAAATTTGTTGCTTGCTCCTGTGGCAATAGGTATCTAGTAATAGGTGCAGAGAAGACAAGTAATTAAACCTCTGCTTTTGGCACTCAGTAATGAATATAATAAATAACACGGATGTTTGTAGTTTGTATGCTAGCATGCTAAATGCTCGAACCATTATGGTAATCCTGAATGTCACATTTTTTCGCTGACAACAAATTATTCAAAGCCTAATCAGATTTTTAAAGCAACTTACTGCTATTGTAGATCCATTTTTTCCAACTCCACCACCAAAAATGACACGGAAGTAATTGAAACAAGAAAGTGCTGTTCCAGACAGTATTCCAAAAACCACCAAGAACTTCAGATCTACTCCTATCAAAGGGACCTTAGCAAGAACAGCAAGAGAAAGATGTTAAAAAGAAAGAATCAGAGCATTTTTAAACACCCATTAAAAAGCTACCAATATATACTAAGTAATTGTTTTATCTGACCTACTGCTTTCCTGGGAACAAGTTCCAGAGGACAGTACAGGAATTAAGTTCCGTTACTAAGGAGATGAGGGATTTCGTCAGTAATGCTTAAACTCCACTTTTGAGTATTTAAGTTCTGGTCTTGAAACTCAGATTTTACTGTATTTGTCCTCACAATATTTGTGAAAAATTCTTCTTACTACATACCAAAAGCTTGACACAGACTGCTGCATAACCAAGGCATGGGAGGGAAAGAAGGTCACTTCACTGCGTTACCCAATACGGACCCACAGGAAACACAAACACCATCTGCCTGCTTTTTGCTTTGGTACATGCTGTTTGTATGCTGTATCTTTGCATTTAGAATAGTATCCAGACAGAAACTGTAATTAAAAAATTACCTTTCAGAATCAATTGCAGTTTCAAGGAAACTTCCAAAGGCAGCAGAGGATTAAAGGAAACAAAACAAACAAAAGTACCAATTGAAATCACTGACTATAAGGTTTTGAATATAGATTGTTTTGAGATACAGCATAACTACCACAGATTTTAATGCTGACAGAAACAAAACCCCAATTATCATTCATTAGGGTTTAACGTCAAATGAATCTAACTTTGTTTTCCAACATGAAAATAAGTCGCTGGAAAACAACAGAAGTGTTTTTGATATGCAGAAAAGAAACAAAAGTTTAGATAAATATGCCCAAATTGTCAAATAAACTAGTGACTTAGTCTGAATTATTGGTGATTTATATTTAATTTGCATCAGTTATCAAAACCACAGAATGGTTTCATCTGGTTCATGTCCTGTGACTAAATAGAACTAAACATTTCTGAGTAAATAGACTAGAAATGATCATGATGTTAGTTTAATATATTTTTGAATCCTTCCACTTAAGTGTGTCTTTAAAAATCAGAATCAAAGTCAGAGACAGGGAAGTGCTTTTGAACAGAAAATACTTCTTCAAATATAGATGTTTATATATTTAAAAATATTTTTCAAAGCCAGAAGGCTAGAATCAGCTCTGTCATAAGTTTTAAAAAAATCTAGTATATCTCAGCTGACCTGTAAATATAGTTTCCTTTATCCCTTCCTCCCAAAATAAAGTCCTAACTTTATCCCATCGTTTCATTAAAGCATTTAATCCTTACACTTTAAAATAAAGCATCCCATAAGAAACCATTCAATTGAGCAGAAATATATGTCTTACATAAAGCATACAAAGGGGGAAAATCCCCCAAAACTATTTGTTAACAGTTAAGCATGATCAGAATATTAGTTGCACATCAGAAGTTTGTATACGGCAGATGGGGTCTTTTTTCCTCTACGCAGCTCTACATTCATGCATAGGAAGTCACAGCATTTTATCAAAGGTAACTACAACGTAAATATGACCTACAGTCCCTATTTGCTCAGTAAGCTAGAGCAGATTAGATAGCTATTAAGTATTGACGATACTTGCAAGGGAGAGCTTCAGGTGCCATAGGAACTCTAAATAAAGGAGCCGAGTTCTCAACACACCTTACAGTCCCATACTGCTGGTCCTCCACAGGCAGATATTAAAAGCAGCATTGTTATGGCTAGTTGAACCTCAGTTACATCAAGTCTAGGAAGGAAAAATATGGAAAAAAAAGGCAAGATCTAGTTCAAGGAAAAGTATTTTATGCAGGGAATTAAAAAATAAGTTACTTTTAAGTTATGTCCCCAAGTCATGAGATGTGTATGGAATATGATTTTTCATGACTAAGGAAGACAGTCTATAGAGAAGCACATAGCCTTAGTTAATATGTAAGATTACATCTGTGGCTTTATATACAGCCAGTTACATATACATTATATATATGAGAAAAAAGTTTTAATTAATACCTGTTAAGTATTTGATAATTTTAAACAAATTTACAAACTTGGTGCTGTGTAATTATCAAATCAAAATTAGAAAATTAAGTTTGTAGTAAAAGCAATCAAACTTTTCCATTAATAGCATATCATATAACAGCATGATCTCTGAACAGCAGGTTGGGACAGAAGGGATATTTAAGCCATATAAACATTAAAATATGACAGATGTTGCCTGCAGAAGATGAGGATAATATTTTGAAGATTGAGTCAGTGGATAGCCAAGCATCTGTCCTCTATTGCCTACAGTATATAACTGATATGTTCCTATAACAATCCTAACACACACAAGTGGCCTTGCATGCTCTCTGAAATCTAGGATCTGGTTTCTACCCTTTTGCTCTCAGACATGGTAGTCCCACTCTGTCTCAATTATTTTGATTACTGTAGTATTTTAGTTTGAGAAGATCCAAATATGTAGATACTTCAACTCTGGAGAAGGAATTGACACTTCCTGTAAAGTGCAGAAAAGCCCAACATCTACTGAAAAAAGCACTACTGAAGATTCTGCAACAGGTCTTGGTACTGAAGTTGTGATCCAACCATGAAATTTAAAACACAGTATTTCCTTAAACAGAATAGATTTGCTCTTTTAAGATATTTAAACCACTGTTATACAAACTGTTATTACAATAAAACTAGTTTCCTGTGCAAACAGTTTGAAGACAATCAGGAAGCAACTCTTATCTAATTTGATGCCCACGTTTAATGAGGGCATCATCTTTTTTCCTTCATCTGAAAAACTGATAAAAATATGCTACATTTTATCACATGCTTCTAACTTAAGTCTTAGAAAAGCCAATATTTAAGCAGCAACTAGACAGTTTGACTTGTTGCTCTTTATCACTCAAAGCCACTGGAATGGGCAGTTATTTCCTTCTTCTGCTTTTCTCCTCACTTATCATCACATAAGTACCAACAGCACAGGGTGAGCCAATTCGGTTTACCAGCTTAGTTTAAACTTCTATTTTCTGTCTATTTAATGAGTTGACTCCAAGCCAAACGAGAGTCCATGCAGGCAGAAAATGGGACCATACTAGTGGGAGTGGGTTTCCCCTCCCTAGCAGGGATAACATTTTACAGAATATTAGCCACTGCTGCAGTTGCACAATAAACATGTCATGCAAACATGTACCAAAATTTAGAATTTCAGGTTTCCACAGAGGCTCAGACAGTTGGTGGCACCAAAGTCCATCTTTTGTATCCTTTACTAATCCAGCACAAGTCAACAGGACCCATTTGTTCTGATCCTTGGTCTGATCAGTGCTAGGACTCTCACCCATTATTTGACTTCTGGAAGTCAGAGGTGCTGGTTGATGAACAGCATCAATGAAAGCTTTCATCTATGTTAGATATCCATATAGTTAGAGCAGTAAACTACAGACTTCATTTAGACTCTCCTCTCTAGACTTAAGAGAAATAAAAAGGAATAACTTAGAAGACATCCCTGAAAAAAAAAAAAAAAAAAAGCTCAGACCTGCAAGTCTTGAAAAAAGACCTGTTTTCACTAAACAGAAGTTCTTAGAAAAGTTTTGTCTAATTTATTTCAAAAGGCAAACATGGAACACACAGAATTTATTTATTTCCTAGAAAGTCACTGAGCTTTCCCCAGTCATCCAGCTGAGAGATTTACAATTGTAAATCAGAGTCATAATGAAGAAACTATTCTGTTTTCAGAAATCATTATTAAAGTGCAGCTCATTGTTTAAACACAGTATAAGATCATGGTCAGGCACCACCACAGCAGTGGGAGGGTCCAGCATTCCCCATCCTATTCCACACAAATGTCAAGGCCTCCTCCCACTACAATTCGGGAGGAGCAGACTAAATTTCTAGCAAGTCATGAATGGCATTACAGGAATCAATATAACTGTCAGCTAAAGGATATCAAAGGTAACATGAGCTAGATTAAATAATAATAATAATAGAAAAAAAATAAACCTAGGGTAATTGAACATGTACTAGGCACAGCTTTGTGCAATTCCTTGCCAAAGGATGTGATAGATAAAAGAGTTTGTTCTAAGAAAGTTTGAGGAGAGTAATGGAAGAGAAATCCATTATCAGGGGAATTTCTCTTAAAAAAATCTGTGTGGTTCAGATTCTCTTTGGCTGAACCTGGCGGCTGGGAGACTATGAAGAGAGGTAGAGTAGATGCTTGCCCTGTTGTTACTCCCACACAGGGCACATGTTTACAGTCCCTGAGGGCAAAGAGAGCTCCAGTTTGAGCCTGCACGCTGCTTGTGTAGTGATTGCTGCTTGCAAGTGATTCCGCAGACAAAAAAAAAAAAAGTCATAATACATGCAAATTAAGCATATGTGGCTAAAATCAGCTGCTAAGAGCACAAGTCCTCTACTCAGTATAATGCAGATTCTTTACTAGGTAATACAGAAGTCAGCTGGGGGTGGGGAGATAAGGAGAGGAGGAGGAGAAAGCAGGAAAAAAAAAAAAGGAAGAAAGGAAACTGAAGCAGTCTCCAAGATTAAGTCACATGTAGTTCTAAAGATATGTACTTACTTTCCAAACCTTAACATGCCTGATACATATGTCTGCCAATGAGCAGAATAGAACATGAACAGTCCCACAAAACAACAGAAAAACAACCAGTCAGGATTTGTTCCTAGTCGGATTGCTATGCAGGATCCCAGGACAACAAAAACTGAAAAGTAAAAATGAACATGTTAGTCAAAAACCCTCTTTGCTTGCAGCTAAGAGAAATAAAATTACAAGGCATTTTCAATCACTGTAATGAAGTAATTACATCCCTGCTGTTTTAGTAGCTAACACCAGAGACCACCAGTCCTGGCAGGAGAGACCAAAACACTGGATTGCTTCCAAGTGAGGGCCCCAGCCTCAAGTCGTTCTCTCTTCCCCTGGCCCTGGGACCTCCTGCTCTTTGCTACCTGGGGACCAGCCAGGCCCATCTAGATGCTGGTGGTTCTGGTGGTTAGCACTGCTCCAGGAATCGCAGATGCAAAGCACACAACAACTCCCAGGGCAAATGCTGTAGCCATGAAGCTACGACAGAGGCTTACATATTGCTATTGGGATAGCAGATGACCACTGGAAGGTAAAAACTACTCTTTATGAGCTCTAAATATATATATATATATATATACACACACACACACACATATATTTAACCATTCTCCTAAGGCACACAAATAAATCCTCCTCCTAACACCCTATCCTAGTTACAAGTTGATTTTTTTGTTACCTGGCTCATAAGGTGGAACTCTTAACTTCATGCAGAAATAGCAATCTTTTAGGAACTTGAATCCTTTACTAGTATTGCCTGTGCCCTGCTGCAGAACACAAGCTACAGAGAGTAAAAGTTTGCCTAGAGATTCCTAGTCTTTTCTGTTCCCCATTGAGCTTATTTAGAGAGCTTTGTACTTCTTCACGTAGAAGTGAAGGCAGAGTGCACATTACCCAACATCTGCCAAAGCAGACAAATATCTTTTATGACATCCTTTGTAATAAATAAATATGCTTTAAATATCCTGATACTGGTCACAAATGAAGGCTGGGGCAGCCCAGGCTGCAGCAACCAGGAGACAGCAGAGCTACCCTAACAGAAGGGAACAAGGCAACATCTCCAGAGGACCCTTCCAACCTCAACTGTGCTCTGATTCAGCAGCTCCTCTTGACAACAGGCAAGTTTTCTTAAAGCTAGGATGGGTAACAATAGGTTAAGACTACCTGTGGAAATAGAGTCACAGCCATGATCAAAGAGCTCTCCCAGGGGAGAGCTACTGTTTGTTCTTCTGGCTTGCTTCCCGTCAATGGCATCCAGAGACTGGTAGATAAAAAGTCCTAATGCACCCAGGATGTATGCCCAAAAAGGTGCCTGAAAGAGAGTTATACACAGTGTCACTAGGCAGTTCTCCATTTTTTATCCAATAATCTATGTCATTAAAGGTAAAATAAACTTTATCCCAGAATTATACTGGATCGTACTATGCGGCAGATAGTAAATGGACAAAACAAGTTTTCTGTGCTATTCTCTAAAACTGTAGTATCTTATATAACATATTACTCTAGATATACTAAATTTACTAAACCTCACTCATTCCTGCATTGACTGAGTTATTTTTCCATCTTAACACTGAAGTAATTTTAATTATCTGTATTCCTCACGCTGAAAAATGTTATGAGTATAATAAAATGCTGGTAAAGCAATGATTAAGAATTAGTCAATTTTCTCAAATTTATAATGTACAGACATAAAAATCCATCACATTTTACTAAATAAATGCTTCAGCTCTGAGGTAAAGAGATTTTTCCAACATACAAAAATTGACTGCATATGTACTTGGAGAAGAGTTTGAAGAATTTAAACTATTCACCGAGTATGAAAGAACAACTGTCTAGCTAATGCAGACCAGCTATTAGCATTGCACAACAAGCTGTGAATTACATTAACACTGGTCTTCAGGTCAAAAAAAAAGCTGTCTAGCTGTCTAACCTTCTAAAACCATTCATTTCCCACACAAAGTCAGAATGTCTTTGTCCAGGAAGTATTTTACTAAAATCCTACTTTTTACACAAACGATGAGCCACATTCTTGACCCAAGTGAATTACAACCATTATTATCACTAATATTAGCCTTTAGAACTGCTGTTCATGAGGAGAGCGGAGTTAGGTATAAATGTTGGAAGCAGCTTGCAGGTAAATATGTTAACAGCCATAGGCAGCCACAAAGCTCAAGTCTTTTCCACTCCCAGGTAATGGCCTGTGGCTCCAGACCTCTGCAATTGCTCTCTTGCAGTGCAAACAGGTCCAGTAAAAACTAGTCTGTTTAGACAATAGATCAAGTCTCAGGGAGCCTATAGATAAGAACACACTTAGAAACCCATGCAATTTGTCCACATACTCATAAACCCAGCGTCACTACTGGGAAAAAAAGGAAAAATGGCAGCTGCAAATCAGTTGTGATCCTTCATATGAAAGGACAGGGTATCTTGCAAGGCAGCATTAAGAACACAAGTGGGGTGAGCTGCTTTCCCAGCCCTTTTTTCTTCTCATCATTATACTCACTGACTTGAGTTTAAAAAAGTATTCCTCACGTTAAATGAAAAGACACATTCTTCCCAAGAACGACCATGCTTTCCTTTCTCGCGTATTGAGGGGTGGCTGATAGACCATGTATCACCTAATTTGGTGCTTTTAATATGTAAACAATGTTGTCATCAGCTCTATGATTTTATTAATAACCAGAATCAGTATAAAGTCAAGTTGTATGCTGCTTTGTCCAGCTTTGAAGCAACAGACATTCAAAGTAGTAGGGACTCTGGCTATAAGAAATCCAGATTTGTATCTTCATTGAGACCTAGAAAAGTTACCAAGCATAACTTCCCTTCTTCCAAGGAATCAAAGAAAAGCTGCAGGCCTGCAGATAATGACTACAAGCAAATACTTCCATTTCATTTGACATTTAACATAGTGGTGTCACTAAATAAATAAATGAAAAGGAAATCACAAACTGAAAATCCATGCCAAGTACCAATGGAGTTAGTCACACAGAATCATAGAATGGTTGAAGTTGGAAGGGACCTCTGGAGATCATCTAGTCCAACCCCGCCACGCTCTGCTCCAGCAGGAACACCTACAGCACGTGGCACAGGGTGGCAACCAGGCGGGTTTGGAAGATCTCCAGGGAAACAGACTCCACAACCTCTCTGGGCAGCCTGTTCCAGGGCTCTGTCACCTTCACAAGAAAGTGCTTCCCCATATAGAGGTGGAACTTCGTGTGTTCCAACTTACACCCATTACCCCTTGTCCTATCACTGGCTACCACTGAGAAGAGCTTGGCAACCAGTCAAGTTATTTAGGTTTCTTCTCACTTGATACTGTGTTAAACTGGAAGAATTTTATCTAGGAGGAAGGAAGGGAAGAAGGTTAAACCAGGAAAATGGACATAAATTCTTAATCTTCGTTTAGAAAAATTTTCTTTCCCCCAAATAAGGGCAAAAAGGCAGAACCTATCAACACCAGCAGGTGTCTATTGCCACTCTTACTTTGTAAACCAGAGAACTGTACAAGCTGGAAGACGGTTCTGCATGTCAGCCACCAGCCTTGCTCTTGATGTTGCCAGAATACACAAGTGACAGCCATAAGACAGACATATCAGGACGTAAAATAATAACCAGGACCCTGCTGAAGCCAAGATCAATCATTGTGACATAATCCACAGTCGGTATAGTGGCTTTTCATAATAGCTTTGTTATATTGACATTGTTACTGTCAGCCAAACTTGCTCCTGACAGATTTATGAATTAAGCTTTATAAGCAGAAAATCAAGAGAAACCAATAGTTTCATTGTCATACTATAATAATTTTAAATTATCTTTCCTATTTTATCACTGATGTCATTTGGAAATGCCACAAAGATAATTCACAATGTTTTGTGAGGTGAAGTTACTGTGACATACTTCTACAAATTATGAAAAAGTAGCTTTAGAGATGTGAGTATTTTCTAAAATTAAGGGACTGCCAAGACATCTGGCAATTCTGCCCAGGCCACATTAAATCCCCTCTTTTTGCAATCACCTTCCTCTAACTGAAATAGATGTTAGCGAGCTTTTCAGAGTCACCTGGTTCCATGTATCACTGACAGAAGCAATATGCTCACAGTCTCCCTTACCCTCTCCGCAGGCCCCCACGCAGTGTCACACAAGCCACCAATTAAGTAAAACACCCGCGCGTGGGCAGGCTCTTATTTCTGACTGCATCATCTCCATAACTGAAACACTAGTCAGTGACAGAAACCTATGTCACTTTTTCATCACTACCTCTAATGCTACTAATTCCTCCTCACTGCTGTGCTGTATACTTGGTATTGTCACCATCTTCTCAAATGAAATTCCTGTGAAATACAGCTCACTTCTAATCAATACCAAAGGTTTGCCTGGTGGTTTCTGCAGGCCGTTTATGTAAGCTTCCATAATGCCACAGTACATTATATAAATATTCTTCTTTAAGATAATGTTATTTAAGTTTACTTTATCTCAAAACAAGTGTGATGTGTTAAATGTAAAAAGCAAGCCAGCTTTAAATATCACACTTCGATTATATCTTAAGACTTTTGATGGTGGCTCTTTTCCAGTTGCAAGTTAGGAGTTTTATCATTAACTCTACTGATTCAGTTAATGTTTGTGGTAGTTCCTGTTGGGACAAGTCAAAGCAAAAGTGTCCCCTCAGATCCCCAACCAAGAAAGCTCTGCTCCTTGACAACACGGCAAGAGTGGGGCATTTTTCATCCTCCACCTAATGCCTATTATCTGTACGTTCTGACATCCCTAATGAATATCTCTGTATCCCTGTACTTGTGGGGATGGGAAGTAGATCCATGGATGTGGAAGAATACCAAGACAGGTGTCTGACCCACTGAGGAATTAGAAACAGACTCTGCAGCATTTCTCCCCTAGGCTATCAGTTCAAAGCAAATTACCTTTGCCTATTGCAAGTTAGATATCGACTGCACTTTTAACAGCTTGAACAGTCTTGTTTTTATTGGAATGAGTTCTCCAAATCTCAAAAGTGCACAAGGGCTTCCACAGCTCCTAATACTCTCTGCTCAGAACAGCTACAGCTGCCTTCCCCTCTTCACACGCCTCGCCTCGCCTTCCATCAGGGATGTCCCCTCCCAGCCTCCCACGCCAGACCCAAGCAGTTTGCAAATTGGAGAGGTGGGAGCATTTGGGAATGCTGACACAGCTCATAGACTCAACAGAAGGTCATCAGGAGGCTCCCAATAATCATCAGCTCTTCACTGATGAGGTGTTTATTACCTCTGCCCAAAGTTACATCCTGTCCAAGCAAAGATACTGTTTGGCCAGAGCTGGATGCTATTCTAACAGAACGAGAGGAGCACAAACCCTGGAAGAGACAGCTTCTCTTCAATTAAACAGGACGCATGAAAGATTACACAGCCCTAGAATTCTGTAAATTTAAGGTTAGTTATCTGCCACTTTAGTGGCAGATGAAAAGGCTACTTGCATTCCACCTCTGCCCGTCAGTTGCCTTCTGCTTCTCCTTCAGGAGAAAGTGTAGATTGAACAGAGGTCCTTATCCTTCTGCTCTTGTGAGGTCAAAACACAGAGGAGCATGCAGCTGCAAGAGATGAGATACCCTCATAAAATCACTTATGCCCTGAGAGTTCAACAGCCAATGCTTATGCCATGTTTAAAGATTCAGGCCTCTCCATTACCATATTTAGTTATGATCGAGGCCCCTCAATCCAACCACACAACCATGATATTTTTCCCAGGGCTGCCTGAACCTTCACTGTCTTGCCTTAGGCTAAACACCCCCTTTCCCCATTCAGTACCAGGGCGCTCCAGTCTTCGTTTGGGAGTACTGTGCAGATGCACTTTGCCCTCAGCTCAGTGTTTCACACCTTTCCCTCTACCACGCCAGGAGTTTAATGCTTTTTCCTTCACACCCCCACACCCTAACTCACACCAACTGCTACATCCCACCTTCTCTGCTTCCTTATTTTCTCCGGCACAAGGGTCAGCTGCACACTTGGCATTTACAGAACATCCTGTCAGCCTCTTCCTTTCATTTCTCTTATTGAAAAAAAAAATGTCAAACAATCCCTCTTTAGTGTAACCCTTTAGTCTAAACCTTTCTTTCCCTTAATAATAGGTCTATCAGAAGCCATCCACATCTTCCCTTTTTGGTATCGTCAGATATATGACTTTCCTGATAGCATATTTCACCAAGGGCTGGTGTCCTCCTATAAATGCACCTCAATGTTGTTTTAATGCAACTCTAGAAAGGCACCCAGAAGGGCATCCCAGCCCTCTTTCGCCTCTGTGGCTCTGCTTTCTACAGCTTCTACCCCCTCTTGCCACACTCAAACTGCAAATCTGTGATCTACTCTTTTTTCTTCCTGCCCTTCTCTAACCCCAGGGACCTATTAACATGCAATTTCAGATAGTAGAAATAAAGGCCATAAGCCCTCCAAAGAAGGCATGCATAAATCTTACTTGGACTATTACAGTCCACATTGCTTAAAGCATATTATAACTGCTGGAAGTTTTCATATATTTATACACACGCACACTATATATAGTTTGAATACATACTATATATTTATATATTCTACATATATATATATATATATATATATGAGAAAACTAAGCCATAGTTACTGTTACCATAAATGTCTATCCTAAAATTCTAGCTTCTTGTGCTATTTTTATATAAAAACCTGTGCCTAGGCTCTAAGGATTGCTGAAGCTAGGCCTCTCCATTAGCAACTACAAAGGCAGCACAATCAGAGCTTCATTTCCCTCCTCTGAAAGGAAAATTATATTTACTCAGTTTTCTCCTTGGTGTTGATGCAAGAGAGGGAAAAAAAAAAAAGAAAGGAAGTCAGTTTTGCCCAGAACAGGAAGGCGTCTAAGAGACTTGTGTGTCAAACCCTAGGGAAATAACTGTAGCTACTTCAGAGAAGTCACTTTGTGGTAGAACATTTTTCTCAGCAAAACAAACAGCTCACTATCAAATGGTGGGGAAAAATCCTAATCTAAGGCACCAAATATGCACTGCTCATACTCAAAAGTCAGCAAAATTTTAAATACCTAAATATTTCTGGATGGTGAGAAAAGGAACGAGGAAGAAAAAAAAGGATCCCACCATCACTGCAATCACAGTGAAGTAGACGTTGTTACCTGCCCCTTTCCTGTCCTGCAGGGGGTATGTCCATCCTATCACCCTACTCAACATACTAGTCTCCATATGTTATTTCTGTAGTTTTAAGAGTTACACAATCAGAAAGCCAACTGGAACAAACATGCTATAAAAACCTGCACACGCAGCCTGCAGCGCCAGCACTGCTTGAGGGGTGCGGCCAGCCCGGGCTTAGGGCAAGATAAGGCGGCTTATGGCGACGTGCATTTAGAGAAGGCAGAAGACACAAACCACGGTCCTTGCAGGCAGGGAGACTTTACTAGAGCAGACAATGTTTTATGGAAGTTAAAACATATCGTGCTAGTCCGTAACAAACTGACTTTTAATGCACAATGACTGTGAGAAAAAAAAAAAAACATAAGGAAATAATGGCTACATAGTAAGAGAACAAGGGAACACTGGGTACTGGTAGGAAATAATTGCATTGCATAATGGGGAAAGTATCATTAAACTGTGAAACTTACTGCAATAAGACAAAATGGACCAACTGTCACACTGAGGTCAATAAGCAAAAATCATGATTGGGAATATATATGAGGGGCTTCCTCAGTTCTTGCTGTAACAAATACCCCGAGAAAAAAAAAACTGCCCCAGAAAACTGCTGTCTGGGAGGATATATAAGGAAAAGACTCCTTTTCTCGTGCTCTTTCCTAAGCATCTGCTGCCAGCTGCTCTCAAGAGGGAGCCTGAGGTGGGTGGCTCTTAGGTCTGACCTGGTGTGACTTGTGTTAGCAAGATTTGTGTTTCATCACTTACCAGCCTTTTGTTTTGGATGGCTTATACAGGTATCAAGATTAAAGTGTTCTTCAATACACAATTGTTAAAAGAGGTCAGTTTACACCCACACAAACCAACTCCTAAAAAAAAAAAAGCGATACCTCCCTGTTACCTTGCTTAAATCTTCTGCCCAGTGCTCCCACACTTCCACCAAGACTGCAAGTCTTGGTTAGTCCACAGTATTTGATAATCAAGGCCTGTTCATAAACAGACTGGAGAAGTGTGGTATGGACTAAAGAGGCTTAGCAGGGGCTAGAGAGGTGCAATGCTGAAATGCACTGCCCTACTTGTTCGGTCCAGAGTTTCATCAACTTCAACACTGTTTCCAGCTCCACTTTCCTCCTACCCCTTCCAGCCTACATATTCCAAGGCAAAAGCACACAAAAGGACATTGCAATGGAACACACAGCACCTAGCAGTGTGGCAGCAGTTTGGGCTTTTTAAAAACGCCTATCCAGACACATGACACTTTAAGTATGATGATTTATCAAATAAGAGAGATTAACAATGGCCTAATCAATATGGCAAGAAAAAGTCAAAGCTAGACTCACAGGAGAGGGCCAATGAAGATTCAACCTACAGCCAAAGGGCAAAATAATAGGACGAAAAAATCAGGCACCATACAATATATTTACAGTGGCCATCCTGAACAGGGAAATCTGGCCCAGACTGTAGTGGTTACTAAATTCAGCTTCTGCAATTAACAAACGAACAGCAAACAAAGTAAGATTTCTAAATCTCACTATAAACCATCACAAAAGGAGTAATTCTCCTCGATGTCAACAATACAAACAATTTCTTTGTGTATAAGGGTCTACAAATAAAAAATAACTATAAACTGCTTTCTGCCTTATTTTCTTGAGGGCGGAAAAAAAAATCAATCTAAAATGTACATCTAGACACAAAGCCAGTTATTTCTACACTGTAAGGGTAAACTGGATGGATGCAGGAGCTCTGTGAGCATTTTGAACGCAAAAAGGCCAGTGGGTGGACAGCATCTTGCTCTTCCCAAGGCCTGCAGCAAGGAAGGAGCCGTGTCAGGTCCAGGCAAAGCCACGATTGACCTGAACCAGCTCCTCGACGGGGTTACCGCCACAAACGCCCCTCTGCTAACGTGAAGGGTAAAGCTGCTGGAGAGACAAAGGGCACTCTTCCAGCACGAATGTGCAACCAAAGCAAAGTTATTTACTAACAGTAATCAAAAGAAAAACCATCTCTGCAGATGAGGTTGTCATCAGGGTCTCAGCCACCCCCTACATTGCAGGAGGTCCCATCCCAAGGAGACCTCAGTGGACGACGGATTTGGAGGCTGGGAAGGGGAGGTGATGGTGGCAGTGAAGCGCCGGGGGTTAGGTGGTCAAGGGGGCACCTTAACCTCCACCGACCACCTCGGAAAGCGTTTGGGGATGTTCTCTTTTCTCTGGCTTCATTTTGGCCCTGTCAGCCCGCCCCTGCGCAGGCAAAGGGC